TGTAAATTGCAGCAAATCACGGCAATCACATTGAAAATATACACTTGTATTTATATTTTAAAATTTAAAGCTTACTGTATTTTTAGAGCTCCAAACAGACAGTTTTAGATTGAATTTGCCTGAAAAATATTCGATTAAAATCCAGTTGAAAACAAAATAACTGTAACCAGGCCTCTTCCCAACCAACCACCACCACAATAACCCTAAATGTATGTTTGATAACCTTGATTTCATCCCAACAACATAATCTCAAATATAAACAAGTTCTTCTTATCAGGCTTTTCAAATACACTCAGACATGGATGTAGAGTTTTGCTGTATAGTTGATAACAGTTGCTTTGGAAATGTAATGGCTTTGATTTAATTTTAGTTCATCCTCGGCTTTGGCCAGATAGATATCTAGCTTTTAGATCGCTGGATAGAAATAAAATACATTGCTCAGCAACAAATATATAAAGTCAGGCAAATCTGCTATTTAAGACTGGTCTATATGAAGAATGGTCTCTCATTGACTAAAATGTTCAGATGCTAAGCTATTTTTCAGACAACGTATGCCACCTGCTGCTGCTTTTATTTTAACACATTTGGACACTTTGCTCGGGGCAGCAAATGGAACGTTAAGTACCATCCATGCATGATGTATTGGTTTAAAAGCCCCCATTAATGTGTCAAATGTGCAGGAAATGATTTCACACATGTGGCCGACATACTGTATCTAGAAACCTTCTGCTTATCTAGTTTCTTGGAAGCACTTGGAAGTGGTTATGCTAGATTTATATAACCATGTAAGTGGAACCACTGATCAGTTTGTAGACGGTGAGCCGAAAGTCGGAAAGACTTCAGTCATTTCATTAGTAATTTATTTTTGCAGCAAGTCAGTAATAGCAGTAAGGCCACAATCCTAAGCACATTTCCAATGGAGTAAGTTCTACTGGACAAAATGGAACTTCTCAGTAAGTATGAGTAAGATTGCACTGTATGGATTCGAAATAGAAGGGGGAAATGATCCTTCCTTCCCTAGTGAAATCTCTTGTATGGCGCCTCTTTATTTCTAGCGCGTCTGGCATTCTGGCAGTAGGCTTCTGAATACCAGTTGCTGGAAAGCACAAAAGGGGGCAGTGCTGTTGTGCTCAGATCATGCTTGTGGCTTTCCCACAGGCATCTCATTGGCCACTGTGAGTAAAGGATGCTGGACTAGATGGGCAATTGGCCTGATCCACCAGGCTCCTCTTATGTTCTTATTTTCCCAGTCCATTAGAGCACCTGAGCCTCTACAGCACAGTGGGTGACCTGTGGCCCCAGGGGCACATACAGCCCTCAGCCTGATTTCGTGTGAATGGCCAGGAGATTTATTTATTTATTTAAGCAGGAGCAGGGGAAGAGAGAAAGAAAAAGGAGAGAGACAGAAACGGAGAGAGAGAAAGCCAGGTGCACACTGTTCAGTTTCAGGTCTGGCCAAGCCCACAACTGACATCAGTCCCACTCACAGCTGGAATGTTCCCACCCCTCAAAATATGGTCAGGAATGTCTCTTCCAGCTACCAAATGCCTGCACAAACAGAAATGTTTTTAACTTCCTCTTTAACATTAATGACAGAGACAGATGCACCTTACCAGGGAAGACGTTCTACAAATGGGGAACCACCACCAAAAAGGTCCTGACATGCATCAGTGCAACCAGGCAGCAGCCAGTTGAACCACCATCAACAGGCCATCACCTACTGATTGTAGGACCCGAGATGGTCAATACTGGGGGGGGGTGCCCTTTTAGGTACTTACGCCCCAAGTTGTACAGGACTTTGTACACGAGTTCTGTCATGCAAGGTTTTATTTACAATATATGTTGGATGGCAGAAGGTCCTTGGCATGAACACCAACAGATATTGTTCCCCATCAGATTTCCAGGGGAAACACCAATGCCTTATTATAGAGAGCAAGTCTTCTGTGTGTCTTTCAGACCCATTTTGAGGACTGCCAGACTCCTGCATGCAACCCTTGATACAAACTTCCAACCAAGGGAGGGAAGAAGAAATACATTTCCCTGTTTTTGCTCATCTTCTAGAAACATATTGAACAATTTAGTTTATCTGTCAACACTTTGGCCCAAGTTTGCATAGCGAAGGAGAGACATGGCCATGGCTATTTACTAAACAAAAGAAATGTTATAGTGATAGCTGAAATGGAATGGAATGGTGTTCAGTTAAACCTCATCATAGTTACTTGGACAGTTGCCTTTCTACGAAATCTTAGATCAAGAGGTTGGAAATCTACCTGTGGCCTTCCACATCCTGTTGAACTCCAATTTCCACCAACCTTAGCAAGCATTGCCAATAGTCAGGGATGATGTGATTTGTAGTCCAGCAACATTTGAAGGGCCAGAGGTTTCCCATCCCTGTCCTAGATGGCCTAAGTTGGTCGGTCATTGTCCTAAATTGCACACTCTGAAAAACATTTTTGTGAAGGCTTGGCAACATAAACCTGGGATTCACACTCACTCAGGATTCAGGCAAAAAATAATAATGCTCCAAGTCTCTATTTTCTGAAAAATAGCAGTATCGCATAGCAGTTTATTATAAACCACCTAGGGATATAGTTGTATGAAAGGCACAAAGGGGGGGCTTTAGTTTTTATCACCCTGTGTGTTGTTTAGATGTCATTTGCAGCTACTGTATTGCTGCTAGTTTACTTCAAAGGAATGTTGAACAAGGCCTGAGGTAAAATTGAGTGGCTTGTGCTGAAAGAAGGAGACTGAGCTTTTCTGTTTTCATATATATATTTTCACACACACACGGTTATAGACAGATCATGTTTGTCAAAATATTTGCTTGTTAAAATGAAGAAACAGAGTGTTTACCTGTACAGTCTTTCTTTTCCAGAACCACTTGTTCTCCAATTGGAAAAAAGTAGTCAAGCTGTTTTTATTATTACTGTGTAGATAGTACTTCCATCCCTCGTCCTGATATTCCGTCCCTCACTCCCATGCCTTGGAGCCTGCAGGGTCCCATCGTCCACCTGTCCCTCAGCTGAATTTATGCTTCAAAGAAGCCTTCCTTAGACAACAAAAGGCTTTTTTCAAGTCCAATTGTGTCAGGTGGATTTGGGGGGATATAGAAGAGAGTTGTGGCATGTGAATGGTGCCCACTGCAGTTTATTCAGTTTGTAAATGGGTTCACAGACCCCAAAATATTGGCAAGCCCTTCTCTAGAGTTCATAATAATATCATGTTTGATGTAAGAATTGGGGGGGGTGTAGGGGGGATGCAAAGTGACAAACTGTACTTGACCTTACAAAATATAATTCTCTCCTCCTACATGCCCAAACGACTGATATTTTGCTAATCCATTATCATTAATGTGTGGCTTGCCTTTCTTGAAAACGTTCATGTTATTGCTACTATTCCTAGTTTTTATGATCCCCTCATAAAGCATTGCTTTTATTTTCAAATGTGCCAGTGTTCTTAGAGTAATTAGTTTCACTACTTTCGCTAGTACTGCTTATTTTAAGAAATCCTGGTCTGTTTTTGTCAGTCAGGTACAATATACCTCTATGACTTCAGTTTTACTGCTTGAATTGGTGGCCTGCTGATTCCTTCGTCAAAAGGTGGCTACTCTGTCCAAGCCATAATTTCATTGTTATATTATTTCATGTCAGAATGTGAATTCAGCTAAGTTCTCCAGTATTTGTGGAACATCACTGGACAGGAGCGAGAGGAAGCTACTTCAAAACTTTATAAACCTGTGAAGGATTAAGAAATGAGACTTACTGATGAGTAATTTACTAATGCTTGCAGCATACTAAAAATCCTGGCAACATTATAAACATCTGATTTGTGATTGAACTTCTTTTCATAGTTGCAGCTCAGATAGTTGTATCTCACTACGGGCCAGTTTTGAAAACTTGAGATCCTCATTCTCCAATAGATACAATGCATGTTGAATAAGGAACTGATCATATAATGAATGTATAGTGAGGAGTACTCACAGTCCAAGATAATATTTAAGATATTCAAAGGAGATGTAGACTTAATTTTTTAAAACACTGCTAAATTTTATTTGTGCTACATAATTTTGTTTTTAACCTCATTTTTATCTATTTTAAAGGAAATTTTATTAAATGCCATTGTATTTTATTGTGTTTATGTAAACCTCATATATATATGTAGAGAGATAGAGATAGAATACTCCTGAGTGTTCATGCAGTATTCCATCACCTCCTTATTTGACTCTTTTGGAGCATCAGGATATTAAGTATGAAAAATAGGTCAACAATGAAATATACTTGTATGGACTACAGCTATGAAGAAGGTATTTGAAATATATTCTTTATCCGAAATATATCACACTATCCCAATATTTCAGAACATTTTTAAGTGAGCTCGGGGTATTTAATTGTAGCTCACATCTGGTATTGCATATAATGCTGCCTGTGTATTCAGGTTTTATAGCTTCCAGTAATGGCAGATTATTGTGATAAATGATTCATATCAACTACAAGTGACACCTTTTAAAATTTCCATATCTGGCAACTATAAAGCGTTTCTTGAATGCTTCAGCAGACCCCCATGGCCGAAAGCTGCTTTATGATTAATTTCATCTCAATGTGGTAATTAGCATGCTTTGAAGTGATTCCTAGAAAACATGCTAATAGAGGCAGCAGATTAACCCAGAAATATTTTTAGTTCAGAGAGCAATGTACGTACACCCAAGAATAATTGAGTTTCCCCTTGAAATTTCTAGGCGTTTTATTGCTTTTGATCAAAGAAAGGGCATTTAATAGGAATCCTGCAAAAAATAAAACAATAAATATGGTTCTTTTTGTGATGATCAGATAAATCCTATTGGCTGTCATTCTACCTGAGGTTGTGCTGTGTTGCAAAATGAAGGATGAAGACTCCAAATGTGTTCTTTGGGCATTTGTGTTATCAAATCACTTGTAAATATATGTGATAGCATTCTGTACAATGCCACTGCTAATTCCTCTGTGTGTGTTTTATTCTTGCAGATAAGAAAGAAGCTGTTTTGACAAAAGACCTCAAAAGTATGTCTCGTTTTTAGTTATGGTTGTACATCCTGTTTTTTATATAGCTCAGTTTTAAAACAGCATGTTCCAATGTACCCAAATGATAGTGATTCAATGTACTCAAATTAAAAACAGCTCGTTCGTTTATTCCCTTACCTGACAGCAGGTTCCATTGTGCTCAATGGGACATATGTCTGAAGAGGCATTCATAGGATAGTGCTATGAAATTGCAAGAAGATGCAAATAAGGAGGTGGTGACACCATTTATAATTCTAAAATGACATGTTTAGACTTCAGCTGCCTCTTCCATTCTAAATCAATTCACACTGTATTTCCAATTCCGCATTCCTGTTTGTGACTGACAGTTATTGCCTCCCTTCCTCATTTTTTTTAATCTAACATCTCGAAAAAGCAGAGCTTTCACGGGGAATGAAATGTCAGCTGTGATCTTAGCTGAACATGTTCTTGGTGGTCAAGAACTGGAAAGAAAAGCTGGGAAGCTTGTGCATCTGTGCTTTTCTGTGTATGCCGTGACCTTAAACATATAGGAAGCACTTGCCTAAGCTTAACTGTTCTTCAGTCTCCGTTTCAGTGGGGCTTACATGGAAACAAGTGACTCTTCATTAAAGTCCTTTCTCTGGCATTATTTACAACAGGTATCAATATATGGTAGGGACGCGGGGATGGCGCTGTGGGGTAAAAGGCCTCTAGCGCCTAGGGCTTGGCCGATCGAAAGGTCGGCGGGTTCGAATCCCCGTGGTGGGGTGCGCTCCCGTTGCTCGGTCCCAGCGCCTGCCACAACCTAGCAGTCGAAAGCACCCCCGGGTGGCAAGTAGATAAATACGGACCGCTACTGGCGGAAGGTTAAACGGCGTTTCCGTGTTTGCACTGGCTCGCCAGATGGCAAGCTTTGTAACCACGCTGGCCACCGTGAACCCGGAAGTGGTCTCCGGACAGCGCTGGCCCTACGGCCTCTTGAGTGAGATGGGCGCACAACCCTAGAGTCTGTCAAGACTGGCCCGTACGGGCAGGGGTACCTTTACCTTTTAATATAATGGTGTGAAGATACCTCCAGATATTGCTGAATTACAACTCCCATCAGCCCTAGTAAGCATGGTCAGTGGCCAAGGATGATGGGAGTTGTAGTTCAACAACATGTGTAGGCCCAAAGGTTTCCTATACCGGATTGAGGTATAATAACAGTTCTTATTGCAACCTGGGAATAAGCCCTGTTAAGCAGAGTGGGGCTCGCTTCTGAGAAAACATGCATAGAACTGTGCTATTAGCACTAACTCCATCCTCACAAAATGGATGGCCAAGCTGGCCCAAGGCATTCTGCTGCCTGAGGCAGAGTACCCAATGGTGCTCCCACCCCATGCCATGAGGATGCATAGTATACAAGGCCAGTCAAGTTATTTTGGCACCAGAGGCAGAAAATCCCGCAATTGTCTCTCCGCCTCCCAGGCAATTAAAATAATATAAAATAAAGAATTTGCTTCTCTTTCATGACACCCAAAATCAGCTGCCCAAGGTAGCTGCCTCGCTCAGCATAAGGGTAGGGCTGGGACTGGTGAAAGGGATTCTTTTTATTTAACCTATTGTTTAGGTTAAGACGTGTATTCCAGCGGAAGAAAAGGGGGAAAGAGAACTGTGACTAAAACAAGGGCAACTGAAACATCTTCTGTTTCATGCTGCAGTGACATTACCCTCACAGACCTATGTGTTTCTGACACTAGCACAGCACAGGTGACTCTAATCTAGGCTAGAGATTGAGGAAACAGACTGTAGTAGTATTTTTTTCCCTGAATCCTCAATAATCCTGGAAACTCTTAATGCTGTGTGTTTTCAGAAGGTTGCGCTTTCCTTCTGGGGGAGCATTTCCCCATAACTATTTCTGCCATATATGCAAATGTTGCATGTGGCTAAGAAAACAACTACTGTACTAAGATGCAGCACAGAGTGATACAATAGTAAAACCATATTTGTTAATGAAAGCAATTATCAAGTGGTTCCAAATAACCGTTTTTGCTCATTACTTTTTCCATGCCTTTGATTGAGTAGAATGCAGATAGGCACTTTGTTTTTTAATAATCTTCTTTCTCTGCTCTCCTATGCAAGAGATGCTAAGGGCAATCTTTTTCATCTGAAATTTCCCCATGTCCCTGTGTTTTTGCTGTAGAATGCTTTGTAGTAATTGCTTTAATTTGTTCTCATTTTAAGAGCCAGCAAAAGCTCCTGCAGCCCAACCAGCTTCTGTAAAAGTAGCAGCACCAGGTAAGTGATTAAATTGTTTTCTCTTGCTTTATTTTCAATGTATTCAATCAACTGCTCTGGTTATGGTGCATTTCATTGCATCATAGCACCATCTGCTGGGTTCTGCAAGTTAATGTTCTTTTTGGTTTGTGTTGGGTAAGAATAATGGTGCAGTGTCATTGCTATGAACATGTGTCTGTAGTTCCTAACATGTGTCATAACAAGTGTTGCATGTTAAGAAAGAAAATCCTTCACTTATGTTATATGTACACACAACTTTTCTTATAAGTGTGGAAGGCTCCAGTAGCAGTGCTTACCAGGGACTAGTTTCCTTTGGAGGAAGAATTCGCCAGAGACTTACAATGTTTCTATAATAGATGTATTGCACCCAAGTCTACTCACTGTATAACTTGCAGCATATCTCACTGCTCCTCATCATCCCCAGAGAGGAAGCCCCACCCAAAAGTGCCTTCCAGAGCCCAGAGCTATTTTTCTGCTTCTTCCCACCCCCTTTTACTGTTTTATTAAATTTGCTTAGTAACATAACATTATTATATGTATTCTATAAAACAAAGAATACAAAACAAAATTCATTCATACTACAATGCATAACTACATAACATTAGTATATATGGTTTCAGAAAAAAGGCTTACATAACAAAATCAATTCAAAATACCATCCGGTTTACTCCCCCCCTTTTTTTTTCTTCCCCCTTCCCTCCCCACTCCAGCCCCCCCCCCCCGGTCAGGCCTTCCTTCTTCATATCTTTATCCATGTACACAGTCTGCTCATTCAAGCTTGTATGTTAGGGTTGGCTTCCCCCTCTTTCTATCCAGTTCTTGTAAAATGCCAATTTATTTGTGAGTCTTTGGCATTTATTTTCCCATATATCCTCTGCCACTATCTGTGCGAATATTTCTGATTGTACATATTCAAAAACATAATCATTCCATATTTCCATATTCCATTTGGCCTTTTCTTTCCATCCCAAAGCAATAACTGCCATTCCAGCTAAAATTATAATTTTGTACAACTCTTGCTTATTACTTTTTACTTTGTTATTTCCCAGTATTCCCGAAAATAATAAATCCCTATTAACGTCTATGTTTATTTGAAATAATCCAGAAATTAACTTTATAATCTTTTGCCAATATTCCTTAACCAGATTACATTCCCACCACATGTGTGAATATAGTCCTTTTTCCTGACCACAATGCCAGCATTTGGGACTAAACCCTTTCACTATATACGCCATTTGTGCCGGAGTTCTATACCATATTAATTAAAAATTTCTACTTAATTCTTTATACTTTTCTATTTTAATATTGTTTATATTCTTCATCAGTTCTTGGGCCGTGTTTGGATGGATCATAATTTTTCTGCTTCTGATTCAGTTCTGACACCAACACTCAAGTTCCCCTCTGCCCCACAGGGTGGTATTCTACTAAGCTTTACTCAGAGTAGACATGATGAAATTAGAAGACATGATGTAGTCGTGTTCATTAACTTCAGTGGGCCAACTGTGAATGAAACGTGGTTGAATATCACCCACAGACTTAGACCACATCATATTGAGCTACAGAGGCAGAACAGTCCAAGACTTTCCAGCTGCTGAAAAAACGCCTGTTGACAATTTCCTTGTATTTTCTATTTCAAAAGAGGCACTTAGCAACTTGGGCTGCTGACCATTGAATGATAACAGCCTATGTGGTGGGGCAGAGCCATGGAGCAGACCTCTTGACCCTTCTGTCACTGCACCTTACCTGAATGGGGCTGGGACAAAGCAGGCTGGTTGCAGGGTTGGGGCAGAGAGAAGCACCCATCTAGGCTAGTATCCTAGGCTTACAATGGGCAACAAGATACCCATGGCAAGCCTTCAGACAGGATATCAGTACAACAACCCTCTTGCCTCTTGTGCTCCTCAGCAATTGATATATAGAGGAAGACTGCCTCCGATACCAGTAGGTAGCATACAGCAATGATGGCTAGTAGCAATCAATAGCCTTGTTCTCCATGGATTTGTGTAAACCCGTTTTAAAGCTATCCAAATTGGTAGTCACCACAATATTTTGCAGAAGCGAATCCTACAGTTCATGCCAGGCATAGGCAAACTCGGCCCTCCAGCTGTTTTGGGACTACAGTTCCCAGCATCCCTGACCACTGGTCCTGTTAGCTTCTAGAGGGCTGAGTTTGCCTATGCCTGGTTTATGCGTTGTGTGAAGACCTCCCCTCTTGTCCATCCTGCATGTTGTCAGGACAACATTTTTTAAAATGAAGAAGACTGAATTGGGTGGAGCCTCAAATGAGGTATCATTTTTGAGATACCCCCCTCGAGGGAGATGTACTTATCTGTCCTCAAATTAACCATTTTTAATCCAAAATGAAATACATCAGAACAATGTTATTTTCCTCCCGCTGTGTTAAGGAAGGCAGAAACGTTATTGAATTTTTTTACACACTTGATTTATTATAGTTTTTGCAAGCAATATATATCACACAATCCACATAATGTGATAGATTCATTCAAAATACTGGATACAGTGTTACCCAACACAATGAGACATTAGCAGTAAGTTTTAAAGAGTCTTGTGTCATTAATTAATTACCAAACAGATGGCTTCAACAGCAGTTATAAAACTTTTAATACAGAAATTGAAAAGGGTGCAGTCAGCCTAATGGCAACAAAAATTATTATAAAGCGGCCAGTGATCAATAAGCGCAAAGCGAAGACTATATGGAGAGCTTCTTGTTGACAGCATTCACATGTCATGGTGCACACAATGATGTGTACTGTGAGTGCATTTCTGCTTTAATCCTCCCCTATCATAAATGGGAACAGCAAACCGCAATCCTATCCATGTGTGAGAAATGAGCCATAAACACCTGTCTAAGCTTACTAACCCTTGATGGGTCAATTCCACATTATAGGATATATCCCAGACTTTATCTAACCACTGTGTGTCAGAAGGGACTTCATTAGCACGCCACTTACTGACCAGGATAGCCTTCATAGCAGTTGACAAATGTACTGCAAGTTATCGTTAATAGTTCTGTTCCCTTGATAGCATAGCATGAAACAACTGCAGGCTCCTGTGGGTCCAAATACTACTCTTCCTTGACAGCATATGATTCCTTTGTTTTAAAGAAGACCTTGCATTCTGAAGTATATGTTTCCTTTGGAAATATAAAATCAACACTTAAAGCATGTTCAGGGGAATTGTATATGTGTTTCTCAGCTGAATGAAGACATCATACAGCAGAATTATATCTACATTATAAAGCAATTACTATTTACTGTACAAAACTCCACTGTGGTACATACAAGAAAAATAAACAATTTCCCTTTTCCCTCCCCCCCCCAGTTGCCAAGAAGTCAATAGCAGGTAGGCTTGCAGAGGCTATGCGAACCAATCTCTGTTTTTTTAATATTTTGCCTACTAAAAAAATAAGCCAGAATTTGTGAATTTTTTCTAGGACCATGCTGCTTTAAGATAGATGATTTGCCGGAATGCAAGAATAAAAATAAAATAGCTAACTGTGCTGCCTGGGGTGGGGCTTGCCTCTGCTAGTGGTAAATCCCCACCAACAAAAGTGCACCACAGTTTGCCTACCCAAGCAGTGCTCAGGCAGAAGCTACCTCTGGTGGTATCACCACTGCCCATAGCCTATGAAATCCCCTAAAACAAAGAAGGGAGGAGGTGGGGTTGGGCCAGCATAGGATCTGCTGGATTCTGAGCCAGCCTTGCTACTGCCACATGATGTCTAATCTGGCAACATGTCCAATATGACCCTCTTCACCAAGGGTGACACTGTTCCATTAAGCCCTGCTGCTGCCAGCCAAGGGGTTGGATTACAGCCTAAGCTCTCATTCCTCAGTGTTGAAACGATGAAGTTATGTGTGAGGATATTTGAATGTGAAAATTTGAAAGAATTAAATGTCTAAACTGAAAGATGAATTTTGTAGAGTTGTGGCACTCAAAGCTGCAGATTTGGATTATCTAATTTAAAACTGTATGAGTGATACAGGATTTAAAATAAACTGCAAAACATAAAATAAACTCTGAACTGTAAAAAATTTAAATACCCATATTTTGTGGCCTAAAGTGGCTTATGAAGAAGAGGGAATAGGATTTCAAAGAAATGCCTTAATCCACTTCCCACTTATTTACCAGTGGCCATGCTGGGTAGGGTTGAGGGGAGGTGAAGTTGAGTAACAACTTGTGGGTACCATATTGGCTACTGCAGTACAGAAACACATACGGCAAAGTTTCCCAAAGTTCCTCATGGCCTTGGCTACTGCAGTGCAGGCTCATGGGAGTAGCAGAGGCCTAACAGAGGTCCTTCTGTGGAGTCCACTAAATCCCAATGCTTCTGTTTCCAAGAAACCATGTTTGGACATCATGGAACCTCAGTGCCTAGAGTGTGTTGTAGATTTTTCTGCAGCACCTTCAGCAACATAATCTGGTTCCCGCTAATTATTAATAACATGGACATAGGTGTATGTATAGTGGTCTGCCCAAAACTCCATTTAAAGCTTTACTCCTATCATAATTTTACGGGGAGCATATGTGTGTGTCGTCAGGGGCAGTTGTAAGAAACTGGCAGATGTGATGCCATGATTCATGTTTTTCAGCAATCATATTGAGTACACTGAAAACATTACTTGAACAATGAGATTACTGCATGAATCAGGCAGGGGGAGCAAGCTAGCTGTGAGAAAAAACCTGAAGCATATTTCAGCAAACTATGAATTTACATCAAAACTATATTGATGAGATTTTAAAATGACATGTCAGCGTTTTTGACAATAGAGGTTATTTAAAGCGCATGTCTGCTACCAAACATACATTAAGATTGTTGAGAATTGGTTGGTTTGCAAACAAGGTATACTATTTAGAACCAAGTACTTAGTCTATTGCTGTGTGTGAATGGTAGCTCAGAGTTACTCTAGCATACAGGCTAAGATCTGAGCTGTGATCTAAAAAGTCATTGGTTCATAGCTTCCCTGAACGTAGTAGACAACCTTAGGCTTCTCTCATGGGGAAGGACAAACAACTCCCTAATTGGCTTAGCAAGTCCTCAAGATCATGCAAGCATATCTTCACCAGACACCCAAATATCCTCTCTTCTCTTGCCAGTTTTCATGTACACACATGGCCCACACTCCTTCCTGCTATCCCTTCCCCTAGTGTGAAGGTAAAAGGCCATTGGTGGCAGGTTGGGGTGTGAGCCCAACGAATAAGAGTCTGCTCATAGAGAAGTGTTCACGTAGTTTGATCTTAATCAAAGGTTATGACATGAGGAATTTCAAAATAATAAACACAGAAACAGTTACATAAGGCCCTCCAGGCCTCTCCAACTGGAACGTAGGGCTTTCCCTAGGCCAGGCATGTCCAACAGGTCGATCACGATCCACTGGTCAATTGCAGGGTGCCCTGGTTGATCCTGGTCAATCTTCAAACCCTTAGTGATATTCCTCCTAAAACAACTCTGGCTTCCTAAAAGAAGCTCAACAACTCTGGTCTATCCTCCAGTGACAATGGAGGTAGAAAACTGCCTGTTTTTTTTAATATTGTGAGTAGACTGTCACTTGGGAGTTGGACGTGCCTGCCCTAGGCCATATCCCTCTCTGGTGCTGTTCCATAAGTCCTTTTACCTAACTGGAGTGTGTCCTTGAACTGTGATAATGTTTCTACAGCTGGGTGTAGAAACCTTTGAATTTTGTATGGTTGGAATGTAACCTGCTGTAACAGAGGTGCCATCTTCTCAACATGATTGAGGGGGCCCGACGTGATGTCCTGATGTCATGCATACAGTGTCGCGTGACATCCTGACATGGCTCGCATGACATCCTGCAATGTCCTGACATCGTACAGAGCCAGAGGTCAAAGCTGAATGCCCTCTGAACATTTAGGGGGCCGAGCCCATTAAAAAAAAAACACCATTGGGGGAACCAAAAGAGTCTCAGCACTCAGGAGTCGGAGCCAAAACATCACATCTATTTATCTACCCATTTTACCTCAGGCCCCACCCATGTTTGTCTCTGGCCATGGCCACCACAATTATCCATCCCTCAAGCTAAAAAAAACCCATTCCCCACTTCTGAGTGGAATCCAACTAAGTGCTTGAGTGCATTCTACCATGTTAGATCAAGGACATAATCAAACTACTGCTAGTACAAAATTAAACTCAATTTAGGTATTTCTCAATGTTGCCCACTCCATGCATCTAGTAAACTAGTACATTAAAAAGATTTTGCATAGCCTGCTCATTCATTCCTCAATTTATTACATGCAGAAGTTGGTTATATGGGGGCAACATTCAAAATATGGCCTTCTGCCTGCGTGCTAAAGTAATGCAGTTGAAAGTTCTGCAATTTCAGTCTGCTATCTCATTCTATGTAATGGTTCTAATATTCACTGTGAACCTCAAAATATAGAAATAATTTATTCGGCTTTGTTCCTCCAACTTTGTAGAACCACACAAAAAAGAAAAGCCAGTAGAAACAGGTAAATATGCTCATATTTTCAAATCTTTGCTTTCTTCAAACATACTGATAATGTACCTGTTCCAGATATGCAATAACCAACTATTTCTCCTTTTATGTTTCTGTTTCAGCCAAGCCCCCAAAGAAGGATCTGCCTGTCAAAGCAACTGGTAAGACATGAGGGGAAAGTTATCATAGAACAGAATGCTCTCCTATTTTATCTCTAAGCTAAAATTTTAAATTAACTAAATGCTATAAAATTCAGCATGCCATACAACAATTAACGAGTGAATTAAAATGGAGAACCCGGCTAGAAATAATTTGGAGGAGATTCTAACCACCATGGGCTCCCTGTGCTTTTTATGTTAAAAAGCAGAATCTAAATTCCTTGAGCAAACAAATCAGCAAGAGTGTGGATATGTTTTGTTACTTTTGTTACTTGAAATTAAAAATCAATAAAAATATTTATAAAACTAACTAACCAAAAAGCAAATATCATAACCTGTTGTTCATTGCAATGACTTCCCCCATCACAGTGTTTCCAGCAGGCCAGCTTTTTAAAAAAAATTGTCTGTAAATTTCATACAGACAATGTATACATCGTGCCCCTCAATACTATTAATACACCAGTTTGAAATGGGATGATTTACTGGTGGATCCTTTGGTCAAAGCATCTTTTCTTGAGGTCTTGGGTACGAGAGCTTTGTTTCAGGTAGCTATGGCACATAGGAACATAAGAAGCCGCCGTATACTGAGTCAGACCAAATGGTCTATAATTTAGTTCTGTATTGTCTACCATGACTAGCAGTAATTCTCCAAGGTTTCAGACAGGGATCTTTTCCCTCTCCTTTGTGGAGATAATAAGAATTGAGCCTGGGACTTCAAGGCATGTACTTCTACCACTGAGCTATCAACCTTCCCCCCTGTGTTGTATATATGTAGTTTGAACACACTGAAATTCTTTGTTTAATTTTTCAGTGACACATGAAGCTCATAAACCAAAAGGTGAGAGATTAAAATTTAAATATATATCCCAAATATATGTACAGTATAATGTTATGGCTTCTTGTAATATCACGTGCTTCATTATATTGAGACAGATAATGGGTCCATCTAATCCACTTCTGCTCAGCCTGGCAGTGATATCAGGTACAGTGGTACCTCAGGTTAAGAACTTAATTCATTCTGGAGGTCTGTTCTTAACCTGAAACTGTTCTTAACCTGTGGTACTACTTTAGCTAATGGGGCCTTCCGCTGCCACCGCCGCACGATTTCTGTTCTCATCCTGAAGCAAAGTTCTTAATCCGAGGTACTATTTCTGGGTTAGCAGAGCCTGTATCCTGAAGCATCTGTAACCTGAAGCATCTGTAACCCAAGGTACCACTGTATTAGGGAAAGGGTTTCCCCAGCCTTGCTACCAGTGCTCCTTTTTAAAAAGTGGAGGTGTCAGAGACATTCCACTGGCTATGCAGGTGCCCTACTACTTCAAGCATTGTCCTTTTCCTTAAAGCATATTCATTTTCCTTAAAGCAGAGATGGCACGAGCTTTTTTGCTCCACAACCCAGATCCCCATGGTGCTGCTAAAGTGAATGTTTTGCCCACCACCACCTTCATTTTAGCAGGGGATTCTGATGCAAACCCTTTCCTGAACCAGGAAAGGATTTGCATTGAAAGCTCTGCTAAAACTGAAGGGAAACCTTTGTTGCAGCAAGTCAAAGCTGTTGCTTTTTTTTTTTAAATAATTTTTATTAATTTTCCAAACATATAGTAAAAACAAACATTAAAACAAAACAAAACATACAAACAAATAAACATATATAATTTCTTAAACTTATTTTCATTCACCTTACTTCCCGGACTTCCCCATACCTCCCTTTTTCTGCATCCTTATATTTACCCTTTCTCAGCAACCCTCCATTCAATTAATTAACTCATTTTCGTTATAATTTCCTTAAACTTATGATTTACAGCTGCAATTCTCTGTTTCTTAACACCATAACATCTCAGCAATCATCAATTTTACAACAGTTTTTAAGGTATATTTTAAATTTCTTCCAATCTTCTTCCACTGTCTCACTTCCCTGGTCACGGATTCTGCCGGTCATCTCTGCCATTCCCATGTAGTCAATCACCTTCGCTTGCCATTCTTCCAGAGTGGGTAGCTGCTGCGTCTTCCAATACTTTGCCAGAAGAATTCTTGCCGCTGTAGTAGCATACATAAAAAAAGTTCTGTCCTTCCTTGGCACCAATTGGCCCACCATGCCCAGGAGAAAAGCCTCTGGTTTTTTAGGAAATGTCCATTTGAGGACCTTTTTAATTTCATTATAGATCATTTCCCAGTAGGCCTTAACCCTCGGGCAGGTCCACCAAAGGTGGTAGAAGGTACCTTCAGTCTCATTACATTTCCAACATTTATTATTGGGCAAATGATAAATTTTTGCAAGTTTGACTGGGGTCATGTACCACCTATAGATCATTTTCATTATGTTTTCTCTCAAAGCATTACAGGCCGTAAACTTAACACCTATGTTCCATAACTGTTCCCAATCATCAAACATAATGTCATGACCTATGTCTTGTGCCCATTTGATCATAGCTGATTTTACTGTTTCATCTTGTGTATTCCATTTCAGCAGCAAATTATACATTCTTTTTTTTTTTTTATAAAATTTTTATTTGGTTTTCTGCTTTTATAAAGACAAAAGATACACAAAGAAAAAACAAAGACAAAAACATGTATAAAGTCAGCAAATCCCCATTTCATAACCTTGTTCCCTGACTTCCCCCCACCCCCCCTAATGCATCCCAGTTTCAAGATTATGTCAGCAAGTTGATATTTCTCCTCTTAACAATCTTATTCATCTTATTTCCTTTTTTTTATAATAAAAATTAGTTTTCATAAGTTGGACTTAAGTTCTCTTCCATCGATTTTCATTTTATCTTAATTAAGAGTCATCTTAACCAAACCTAAAAGTCTTGAGAGTTTTTAAGAGTCTCTTCTTCCCTCCCTCCCATCCCCGGTTTTTGTCCCTTCCCAATAAAAATCCAAATTCGAAGTTCTCAGCCTGGGTTCCTCACGTCCGAGGCTTTCAAATCTATTTCCGTTCCTCTCCGCCTGTCCTGTTGGTAGTCCTTTACAGCAGTCATCAGATCTGGGAAAAGTTCTTTCACCATCAAAGTATGTCCTCTTCCAACAAGAAGATTCAAAGGTGGCTGCTGAAATATTTCCACAAAGTCTATCTCTTCCAAGTCTAAGTCCAAACGGAGGCCCCAATCATATTTCTTTATTTTAAATTCCTGTACTCCATTTTGTCTTGGGGCCTCCTCCTTCTTCTTCTGTATCTCTCGCAGACTTGTGGTGAATATGTTCCCAGCGTCTCCTTGCTTGTATTCCACAGATGTCAACTTTTGGTTATTACTTCCCAGGATTACTTCTTCTTTTTCTTGTTGTTTAGTCTCTTCCAGCTCTGTAGATATTGTTTCCCAATCAGCTGTGGATTCTTTCTCATTAAGGTCCTCAATACAAAGAGCAGAGTTGCCTGTTCCCAAGGTCATAGTCTCAAGTTGTTTGTTCATGGCCAAACTCTGCTCCTGTAAGATTCCCACCAATTGAAACATCCTTTCGATTTCCACTAGTAACTTTCCTTCCACAGCCATTGTATCCATTGTAGTTTCACAGAGTTCCCCCTAGGGGGAATCTGGTTACTTATTTGCCTTTTCACCAACAATCCTTAAACTGATTATTATTACTTTGTTTCCAACAGTTTCAGCTCAATTATAACTCGTCTTAGTCCATAGAAATCTTAAATGGCAATTTCTCACTTTAAACCGCCCGTTTGGCAGCTTTGACAGCTGTCAAACTCCGCAGCTCTAACGCAGGCACGAAGGCAGGACGTTCCCGAGCCCGGGAGGGGGGGTTGTTTAAAACAGAAGGAAGGTTTCCAAAACTCCACTCTCCTGCACAAAATTTTCCTTTAGTAAAATCTTGAAAGTTAGTGTCCTTTTTAACTCACCCCACCAAGGGTAGGCTCTCCAGCTTATCTCTTGTGTCGTTGCTTAGATGGTCTGCAAGGGGGGGGGTGCGGACTTCCTTTTAGCACACCCCCGGTCGTCTCCAATTAAAGGTAAAATTTTTCAAAAGTCCCAATCCGTCTTACTCACGGGTGATTCTTTCAGTCCAAATTTTCAAGGAAGGAAGTCAACGCTCTCCGGTCATGGCTCGCGGCTTCGCTCCACCGAGGTAGCGATCGACTCTCAGTGCCACGCCACCCCCGTATCCCCTCCGCAGCCTTTAAAAAGGCTCTTTGCGAATCAGGGGGGGCGCTTAAGGCACCTGCCGAGTCTTCAGTCCGCAGGCTTCCGCGCCTGCGGTTTTTAAGGGTCCCCGCGTCGCCGGCGCGGCAAAGACCCATCCTCAGTGGAGCCGATTCCCTCCGAAGCTCGGAGGGAATCCGCCATTTCCAGATCGCGTCAACCCGGAAGTCGCAAATTATACATTCTTGACAAGTTCTTAGTATTGGGTTCTAACAATTCTGTTTCTAATTTCGACCTCTCCATCTGGAAACCTATTTTCCTGTCCTGTTTAAATACCTCGTTTATCTGAAGGTAATGCAACCAATCTCGTACTTTAGACTTTAGTTTATCATAACTCTGTATTTTAACTCTTTCACCATCTTGTTCTAAAATTTCACAATATTTTGGCCATTTGGACTCCATATTAAGTTTTTTTGTCTCTTTAGCCTCCATTGGTGATAACCACCTGGGAGTTTTACTTTCCAGTAGATCCTTATATCTTATCCAGACATTGTACAATGCTTTCCTAACAATATGGTTTTTAAAGCCTTTGTGCAGTTTTACCTTGTCATACCATATATATGCATGCCAACCAAATCTATTGTCATACCCTTCCAGATCCAAAATGTCTGTATTCTCAAGAAGCAGCCATTGTTTCAACCAGCAAAACGCTGCCGATTCATAGTAAAGTCTCAGGTCCGGCAGGGCAAACCCCCCTCTATCTTTTACATCAGTTAAGATCTTAAAGTTTATTCTGGGCTTTTTGCCCTGCCAGACAAATTTTGATATGTCTTTTTGCCACCTCTTGAAACAGTCCATCTTATCCAAGATCTGGAGTGTCTGGAATAAAAACAACATTCTAGGCAATACATTCATCTTAATGACAGCAATTCGGCCTAACAAGGAAAGTCTCAACCTTGACCATATTTCTAGATCTTTCTTCACCTCTGTCCAGCATTTATCATAATTGTCTTTAAATAAGTTCACATTTTTAGAAGTCAAGTTCACACCCAGGTACTTCACCTTTTTTGTTATTACTAAACCTGTTTCACTCTGAAACTTCTCTTTTTCTGCCATTGTTAGATTTTTCTCCAACACTTTGGTTTTTTGCTTGTTCAGTTTAAATCCTGCTACTTGACCAAATATCTCAATTAGTTCTAATACTCTTTTAGTACTAGTCTCTGGCTGTTGCAAAGTCAATACTAAGTCATCTGCAAATGCCCTTAGTTTGTAATTTCTGGCTCCGACCTGAACTCCTTTAACCAATTGGTCCCCTCTAATCATGTTTAACAAAACCTCCAGTACTGTTATAAAAAGTAAAGGTGATATTGGGCATCCCTGTCGTGTACCTTTTTCTATAGGTATTTCTTCCGTAACCACATTGTTCACAATCAACTTTGCTTTTTGCTTAGAGTATATAGCACCTATACCATTTTCGAAACCTTGGCCTACCCCCATCCCTTGAAGATTCTTCTTCATAAAGGTCCAACAAATGTTATCAAAGGCTTTCTCCGCATCCACAAAAATTAACACCGCCTTTCTATTAATGTTCACTTCCAACAACTCCAAAATGTCTATAATGTTTCTCACATTGTCCGACATATGTCTCTCTGGGAGAAAGCCTGTTTGGTCCTTGTGAATCTCCTCTACCAAAACTCTCTTCAATCTTTTTGCTAAAATGTCTGCAAAGATTTTGTAATCCACATTAAGTAATGATATAGGGCGGTAGTTTTTAACCTGGTTCTTTTCAATCTCTGTTTTCGGTATAAGTGAAATAAAAGCTTCTTTCCACGATTCGGGTGCCTTTTTCCCTTCCATAATTTCATTACAGACCTCCTTCAATGGTTGTATTATCCATTCCTTCAGTGCCTTGTAATATCTAGCAGTCAAACCATCTGGTCCTGGAGATTTTAAAGCTGTTGCTTTTTTTATTGATTTATTTTCTCCATTTACACAGCTGCCCCTAACAAGAGTGTTTTGGATAAATCCTAGAGGTCAATTAAATGTTCACAATGATTTTTTCTGTTTCATTTCACAGTGACCACAGAAGTTCATAAGCCAAAAGGTCAGTACTGTTTACATTTTACAGTAAAATTAAATTTATACAATATATAGTGTTTGGATTAAGTCCATGGCGAAGCTGAACATAGGATGGGTTTGTGGAAGGACCTCCATGCAATTTAATAATCTCTGGAGCTGGGTGTATAGTGTCATGTGGGAACCTTAATCCATGCTCCAGCAGATGAATCAGTAGCAGATAGCAGGGTATTGGGCGGTAGAGGAGCAAGGATAAGATGGCGATGAGGTCAGCACAGTACAAAGAGTTAACTTCAACTCTTTGTGATTTACTGCTGCCTCGCTCCCTTCAACCAGTATGGGGTGCAGCTGAGTCCTGGCTTTACTCCCTAGCATGGCCAGGTAAAGTTGATTGAAACCCTCAACAACCATGGCCAACCATTGTAGACGTTCATGAGCCAGTGAGCCTGCGGTCTCATTCAGCATAAGCCAGCTTCCTATGTTATTAGAGTTTTATACCAGCATTTATAATGGTAAGATAGAGAGCTGACTTTTCCATGATTCATTTTGCAACTGTGCAAGGCTTCATTCTTCCTGCAGATTTATTGGAAGGCAAAAAAAGGTAACTCTACAGTTTTATAACATTTATTAGAAAGGTAGATTAGATCAATATCAGGATAATGTCAGTTGCTTTCAAATAAGCAGCAGCGTTTTCAGTGCTTTGAGAAAGCTTGCATGAGCCACTCTTCCTGAGACTGGAAGTGTTACAAAAGCCTTATCTTTGTTTTGCAGCACTACATGAAAAGAAAGAAGATAGGCCGTTGAAGGTGGTAGAGAAAGGTAAGGAGAAACTCAGTGAAGCTGATGTTATCTAAGGAGAGCGCCATAGCGATTAAGAATAAAATCACATTCAAAAGTGGACCATCTTGATTTTGTCTCTCTAGCTATTAGTATTCTTTCTTGACAGATAATTCTGGATCAAGTTTCTGATGAAATTCAGTTTCTGTGTCACTAATCATATTTCTGCAGTGACTGGAATTAATCCATTCAGTCATCTTCAGTTTTGTGGTGGCCTTGTGTCCTACGTCGCAGAAGACAGTCCTCTGTTTGATGGGTGCCTGTTCTAAATCCACTTTATATAATAATAATAATAATAATAATAATAATAATAATAATAATAATTTATTTATACCCCACCCATCCGACTGAGTTTCCCCAGCCACTCTGGGTGACTCCCAACAGAATATTAAAAGAGGATAAAACATCAAACATTAAAAACTTCCCTAAACAGGGCTGCCTTCAGATGTCTTCTTAAAGTCAGATAGTTGTTTATTTCCTTGATGTCTGAGGGGAGGGTGTTTCACAGGGTGGGTGCCACTACTGAGAAGCGGACACAGGGATCATTAAAGAGCCTCACCAGCAGTTGGCACAGCAGGCTAAGCAGCCATACTATGCAGTCTTCCCCAATATGAAACTGCTAATGAAACTACCATTATGTGCTGGTAATTATTTCTAAATGTGCACCTATACATATAAATCAGCATTTCCAAATTTTATACAAACCTGTGGGTGCTGTTGTCCACATTTTTGTTCATGGAGAAGTGGCCATACTATTCTATTTACCTGTGACATGTTCCACATTTCTCACCCTAGTTATTTTAACTGATTTGATTTGTAGACTTAATTTTCTGAACGATTCAGCTGCAAATGTTTGTTGAAGCAGGTCACAAGTCCCAATTTATATCCAGACAAGTTCAGTGGGTGGCTGACTGTGTTTGCCTCAAAAGGGGACCACCTGCATTCAAGCAGAGCAGGGCTCTCGCCTTGTTTAGCGTCTCTGATTCGAATAATTGTCCCATCCATAATGGTGACCTTTTCCTTTCAACATTGGTTATGAGAAATGAACCACCAATAACAGAAATAAAATATTATGTGAAAAATATTTGGTCTTTCATTTCATCCAAGAGAAATGCCATTGGGTAACGTTAGAAATCCATCATACTCAACTGTCATCGTTTCAGTCCAATGATGATTCTTAGGGCTGACACCTGCGTTAAGGAATTAGTCAGATCTGATTGAAGGAAATAGGAGCTCAAGAGCTTTTGCTATGTGTTGGTGAACAAGGAAACAGTATGAAGCAACTAAATTATTCTGCAAATGCTACATTTCTAAACAGATTATTCTTAACCCTAAACTAACAATAAATTGTATGCCTTAGTAACTTTAAGGGAATTGAGGGATTGTTTTTTTTTTCTTTTTGCAGAGAAACCAAAACCAAAAGAATCAAGTAAGCCATATGACATTGTCTATGACTCTTGTATATCACTTATGCAATAACATTTCCTGTATATACTATTTGTTCACATTTTCTACCTTTTAAGAAACAAGATCAACGCAAACACATTCTTTGAACAAACCACAGAATAACACAGGATTATTATTATTTTTTAAAACTCTTTTGGTTCAACAAATGTTTTAGCTTGAACATTACCGAAACAAGAAATAAGGCATGAATTGAAGCACAACAAGTAAATGCTGTATGCCTCAGCAAGAAGCATAGTTATCCATAACACAATTGATCCCTTTGCTAACCCACAACACAAAAAGCACGTATTATGAGGTAAATTCAACAACATTTCAAAAGTGCAGTGTGATAGTTGTAATTGTGATTTTTAATCATCATCATCACAATTAGAAAAACCACATTGCACTAATTTTCTTCCATAGATTTCCTGTTTGGTATGGGGGAGGCGGTCTATATGCCAAAAAGTAAGGATGTGACTTTTGCAAATCCACATATTCTCCTTCTGTCTCCTGAGCAATTTCCACACTGTTCCACAAATCTCTTGAGCAGATTTGGGAGTGCAGGGTGTGTGTGCAGACAGAAGGGGAAATCATCAAAATTCTCCTCCTTTTCTGCTGATGGAAACTTCCATGGAATCGAGGAGTTTTATGTCTGCAAAAGGACACAATACGAATAAACCATCTCATATTTCTTGTCTCTTGTAATATCTGGGTCACAACTTCATATGAGTAGATAGATAGATGATAGATAGATAGATAGATAGATGATAGATAGATAGATAGATAGATACAGTGGTACCTCGGGTTACATGCGCTTCAGGTTACATACGCTTCAGGTTACAGACTCTGCTAACCCAGAAATAATACCTCGGGTTAAGAACTTTGCTTCAGGATGAGAATAGAAATCGTGCTCCGGCGGCATGGCAGCAGCAGGAGGCCCCATTAGTTAAAGTGGTGCTTCAGGTTAAGAACAGTTTCAGGTTAAGAACGGACCTCCAAAACGAATTAAGTACTTAACCCCAGGTACCACTGTAGATAGATAGATTTGATGGTTAGATTGGTAAGTGGAAAAAATATATAATTCAACGTCACGTTATGGTGAACATCTCATCATTGCAAGTGTTGCAGCTTGCCAGATGGAACTCTTCCCCCTCTCCTCCCCCTGTATGATGTTCTGGGAATTCTCCCAACCCCACTGAGCCCATTTCAGGGGTGAGGAGGGCACGGAGGGAGGAGAAAGGGGAACCCCACTGTGCAAGCAGAAGGCCTTGCGGTGACAGGGCTTGTTAGGTGAATCTCACCTAGTATGTTCAGATAGACAGATAGATACGAGTCAAAATATAAAGCACCGTATAAAGGAGCATATAAATAAACATATATCTATATCCTGTCCTGCAGGAGGAGCAAACTTCAGATAATTAGATTTTTATTTTCCATAAAAGTAATGAGGGGAGTGATGTTCCATGTGTGATAATTAAATGCAGTGCTTTTTTTCTATAAAAAAAAATGTTTAGGGGTACTCTAGTTTTCCTATTCATATTGAAATACTGCCCCTCAATGAGGCTAAACTTAGATTCACAAAATATTTAGGGGTATGCGTCCCCCCAGAAAAAAGCACTGATTAAATGTATCTCCTGTTTTAACTTGTCCTAAAAAGATTTACCTAATTTACAATTATTTCAGTGGTGCTTGCTTCCAATAAAATGTGCTTAGACTTGTGCCTAAATCATAGTACTTCAATTTTAAGTGAAATATAGTTCAAATTGTTAGCTTCAGCAAGGTTTGCTGGCAATATATGTAGTCTGATGTAATCAAGCAAAGACTAAAAATATATATATGCAAAAAGTAAGTCATATATTTCATTACCGAAATAAACTCTTTTTGAGCTAGCCATGATCACTTATTTCCAGTTCTTCAGCCACATTTGTATTGCACATGTAAGACAGCATCACAAATGCTAAATTACCGCTGCAGACAACATTAGCTTCTGAAATATTTCCATCATGATTTTCTGGTTTATCAGATCACTTGGGATTTAAGGCAACATCAGTAATGAGTCAGACTCCAAAAGTGTTTGATCTCCTAAAATCAAGTAATCAGCATGACTTTCTTTGAAATAATTGCCATAAAGCTCTTCCTAGTAATGGCAGTGCATATTTCCTGTTGGTGGTTATAAGAAAATTTCTGAATCGATAAGCTAAGTTAGTCCATGATTTTAAATATTGCAGTTTCCAGAAATAAATTGGGATGCTCTACTTAAATGTTATTATTCATGAGGACAGAAGAAAAATAATAAAACCCTCAGCACAAACTAGCTCATTTTGAAATCTTGGAAGAGGATGTGTTTAGGATCAGTGTGCATGGTATATGAGAGCAGAGGGTTTTTTACATCAAGGAAAAACATATGAATATTTTTTTAAAAAAATATACAGTCAAAGTTCAAATGTACCACCTTTGCTAATGGTCACAACCCAATATTAAGTAGGCCCTCTTAAGATATTTAGCTTGGATCGGGAGTTCTCATTACTGGAATGCTGTTCATGGGATGTGCCTATTGAAAAGAGGGGATGATTTTTCTTTTTGTTGACTCCTGCTTCCCTGTAGCCCTTCCAGAACAGGAGGTGGCAAGATGGGGCAGAGAATCCAACAGTAATCACCTTCCCTAAGATGGAACCTTCTCCAGAAACTACCTAATTCTCCAGAAACTACCTAATTGGACATCCTCACTGTTTTATTGATCTTCTGGGTGTATTACCTTTTAATGTTTTTAAATGAAGAAGCAAGGTCTACTTGCATTGGAGGAAAGGGGTAGGGAGGCAATTTGCACTGATACCTCCTTTCCTCTGCACCCCCCTTTGTCTCCTGAAAAGCTACTCCATAAGGTCGGGGGACCCTTCAGAGCAGCACTGGGGTGGTACAAGTGGGCAGCAGGAGGAAGAGAGACTTGGCAAGATCCTCTCCTCCCTTTGTTCAGTAAGGAACTTCTACTGGATCTCTGAGCTTTTTGTAAACAGAATGAACTTTTCAGAAAGAGCTCTTTGCAGAACAGTCAATCTGGATCCCACTCATAATAATTCATTCCCACTTAAATTACTTGTCATTTGGTCAATATGTATTTACACACATTTTAACACGTCTATTGTTTGTTTAAAATTGTTTGGTGGTGGGTTGTTCTTTTTGTTTCTTTCAGAAGATGCCAAAGAAAAAGAAGTAAAGCATCACCCAGCATTGAAAGACAAAGGTAATGCCATGCAATCGAAAGATGTAAGTCAGAATGATTGCAATCAAAACTATAATTAAAAAATAGCTCACCCAAAATTGACTAAGCCAAATTAAATATAAGCATTTCTGCACAAATTAAGTGTAAGCATTTCTGCACATGTGTGAGAGGTTTAAATACAGTTTAAACCAAATATAACATAAATGGAGTCAAACAGCAGCATATGGGTTGGTGTGAAAGTGTGATTGAGACAGACATGCCTTCAGGGCTTCATAAAGGCAGAGGCTAAAGAACACTCTAACCATTTAAACACCCAAGTCTGTTAAAAGACCAGATATCCCTGACTTCCATTTCCCCATTCTAATTTAAAATCCCTGTGTCACCAGGCTCACCGCTAAGAGACACTTACATTGCAATCTCCCAATCTTATATTATACTCATGCATTAGGATCTGTCAATTTCCTTTATTTCAGTTTCTCATTTTTCCAGTCTTAAATTCAGTTCTCCACATTTTGTAGCAATCTGCAATTTCTTGATTTAAAAATTCCTCATGAAAATTCATCAGCATACTGGTGTGGATTTCTCCCAATAAACATATTTCATGTGCAGCTCTGGTTAATGTACTCATTTTTGAAAGGATTTCCCCCTAATATCATGTATATTTGCATGCTATTTTCACTAATATCCTCATTTGTATGCACACTTTCCCCTAATATATGTATTTTTGTAAACATTGGTTGGTTGGAGAGCTGCATCATAAAATTCAGTTAAGTGTGATCTTCAATGGATAGCTGTGTTTTAGTTTGTGTATTGCTTCAGAAAGTGTGAATTTGATAGATTTGGCTTTAAATGCATACTGAATCAAATTTCTCCTTCATTCCAACTCATAAGTAGAACCTATGTCATATCAGTTCTTCTCAGCTTAAGATATATTTGTGGCTTTCCTTCTGCACACGTTACAGTTAGTTTCATGGGTAGAAAACTTCTACAGGTTTTCATTTGTTTGTCCCATTCAAAGCTGCCAAGGCTACTAAATAAATATTTGGCCTTGACCCAGCATAACTAGTCTTGTATTTGCACGTATCAATAGGATGTGAGATAACAAGGAATGTGATCATTTGTACATTTAGTTCATATAGAGAAGCTCATCTGTCTTGACATTTGCCTATTCATTGCCTTTAAGAAGGCTTGCATTTAAAATACCATATCAGGTCAAGCAGATTATAATCGGATGCAATTAGGGCTGCTATAAGCTACAGCATTCTTTGACTCCAACCAAGTGATATTCAGGAAGTCCCAAAATGATTTTGCGTCTTCCGACACATCAGTCCCAATCTATTCCTACCAAAGCATCACTGATCTCGGCATGTGAAAGGTCAGTGGTTCAACACCAACAGGAAATGACATTTAGCAAGATTTGAACCACATGCTATTTATTCAATTGCTAAAATAATTGCAGTGTCAAGGTCATGACAATTTTTAAATGCCAAAATTCAGTGCCAGCTTTGGTTAAATTGCATTGAAGACAGCTGCTGCAAAATAAAACAATGCAATAGGTGTACCCTGTAATTACGTAGAAAATACAAAACTCTAGCCTTGACCAAGCAAAATATAGAATTCCAACCTAAAACACCGAGAGACGTGAATGGACTTTAGAGGAAAGCGTGGAGACCCATATTTTTAATTGCGTTCAGTACGTATTTAGTCTGCATTAGCACAGTTATGGCAAGTCCTTAAGTCGACACATGGGGGTTGGGATGAGACAGAGAGACAGACAGACAGAGAGAGAGAAGTGGAAGGAGAATTGAATGGATTTGAATGGAAAGGCCCCTTCCACAAATGCAACTCTCCTTCCATGACAGGAAGCTCCTTGCTTTCATGGACGGATAAATGTAGTTCTTCACAAATGCTGTAAAACAAGAAAACCCTGAAAACTCCAGAACCCCATGGGAATTGGGAAATGGTATACATTAAACATCTTAAATCTTCTTCCTTGACCCAATCTCTTTCCTGAGCCTCCAACGATAGTTATGATGCTTGGAAAGCCATATTAGTCGGAGGAATTACTGATAATTGGCACTTCATGTGGCCAGATTATTTTGCTACATCAAATGAAATATTCAGAGCACACGAATTGACTGTTATTATAATCATCTCATAAGTACAGCTGAGCTTGTTGATCTCTGATGCTGTAAAACCTCACAATGCAAGTTTGAAAACTGAACACTTGGAACTATTCACATACTTCTCAGGGCTCGTAGAGAAGAAACATTTTGTAAGCACAGGATTAATTATTATTTTCCCCCCTAGATGCTGCAAAAGAAAAAGTGAAGCCTCCAGTTGCTGCCAAAGAGAAAGGTGCTATTTGTAAAGTTGCATACCTTTTTAAGTTCATGAGTTCTTTCATGGAGGAGAATTGATAGCTGCAAACTTGTTATTCATTTATTTACCAGGACTATTCTAAGATTAGAATTACTTTTGTTGCTGAGAGTTTAGACAAATACAAATTCGCACACAACAGAAAGCAGAGAAATTATCAAAAGTTTAAGGATGTTTTACTCTAATCGATAAAAATGAAGGAAACTGAACTGCACGTCAGCTAAGTTGTAAGTGAGCACAGTATGTGTAACTGTAGAATGTGTTTATTGGTTACAGGGCACCAGACCACATTTTCTGTGTCTTGTAAGCACTAAACACATAGCATGCTCACTTACAACTTAGCCTCCATTCAGCCACACATCAACTTCAGCTGTCTTCCTCTCCACATACTTTAGGACTACATAATGGGCTTTCGCTGTAGAAACTAAAGGCACAAAAATGAAACATCTATCATAAGATGAACTTGTTTTGACTTTATGATGAACAGAATGTTCAGGCTCAAAAATGACTGAATAATGAAAAGCCCACCCACTTTGACTATAGAGCTGCTACCCTGACTCTATTATAGAAAAAATGGTGGATGTTGGAGTATATTGCATTCTTCACTTTCATGGTCAACTTTAGCTATATTCTAATCCAGCAAAAGCACTGTTGCACCCATTCTGCAACAGCTAAAGCATCTTATGCTAAGCTGGAATGTATATTATTTCCCAGGGTGCACCTAATTAAACCATAACATTTCCATATTTGTAAACTAAGACAATTGGATTTTTCCCCCCAGAGGCAGCAAAAATGAAGGAAGACCCTAGTTGCTCAGAAATGTAACTATCATGCTATGTTATATGTTAAGCAAAATCCCACTCAAATCCATGTTTTAACACTCCTTTTCTGTCAACTTAAATAAAGCTTTTCTTCCAGAATATAACCATATGGTGGTGAGGAGGGTTCAAAAAGTTAGCTTCTTATTATATTGTCTTTTCAGTACTGATGTTATTAGGTGAGATCCCCTGCTTATAGCCCACTCCAAAGTAGAGGTGATTTACAAGCCCACCAAATTCTTCTCTGGCTCAGTTTGAAATCTGATCTGGAGAAGAATTGTTGACTTCCCCTTTTCAGTGCAATGGAGTTATGTCACTCTATGACTCAGGGCAGGTTGAGACATTTAGCATGGGAAGGGGAGGTCTTACTAATAGATGGAAATATCTGGGCCATGGAAATATCTATACCTGGCACTTCACAAATTATGTCACATTTGTGAGTCAAGCATTCATGCCTATGAACATATGTACAATTTGTCCAAGATCTGTGATCCTTGTGGGACAGGGAAATTCAAAGATATTGAGCAAATAGGTCCAACTCACACATGAAACTTGTTTACACAGTGGCACATGCAAGCATCTTTTCACACCATTTTGTGCCACACAAGGGATTTCAATGAACCAGCTCTCAGTCATTTTTATCTGCTGGAATTTATATAATATGAACACAGTATTTTCCAGAGTAAACTGAATGTGCACCGTGATGTTGAATGTCTGTGACAGAACATTGACATTTTGTCAGAAAAACATAACCCCTATGTGTAAATTGGCTGCAAGCATCTTGTGTGCGGTGCTGTGCTTTATTAGACCTCTCTTTTTTAAAAAAACAATAATAAGTGACATACCACACAGATCCTACAAAATAGGGTCTAAAAGTGGCCTTGCAAAAAGAAAGAATAGCTCTGGTGACTATAAAGATTCAGTGCCCTGTAGAAACCCACAGAGACAGACTCACTCTTATTTTTCCTCCCATGTAGTTTATAACAGTATGCAAAGAAGCACTATGCAGCTATAGCCTTGCTATTTAGATTAAAGGTATTTCATCATCCGTGCAACTTTGACTGTGACAGACATTTAGCATTAGAAGGTTCACAGCTTTCTTAAAGGTAAAGGTAAAGGTACCCCTGCCCGTACGGGCCAGTCTTGACAGACTCTAGGGTTGTGCGCCCATCTCACTCAAGAGGCCGGGGGCCAACGCTGTCCGGAGACACTTCCGGGTCACGTGGCCAGCGTGACATCGCTGCTCTGGCGAGCCAGAGCCGCACACGGAAACGCCGTTTACCTTCCCGCTAGTAAGCGGTCCCTATTTATCTACTTGCACCCGGGAGTGCTTTCGAACTGCTAGGTTGGCAGGCGCTGGGACTGAACAACGGGAGCGCACCCCGCCGCGGGGATTCGAACTGCTGACCTTTTGATTGGCAAGCCCTAGGCGCTGAGGCTTTTATCCACAGCGCCACCCGCGTCCCCCTCACAGCTTTCTTACTATTTGCAATTTAGCTGTTTCATTCTCTAAAGGTCTGTGCTGCATATGAAGATAGAATGAGCAAAAAGATGTGGGCGATTTCTTTGTAGAAATTGTCTAGTGTCTTTATTTAGTGGAAGCAGTTCATGGTGTCATAACAAAGGGGGGTCATTCTCAGCCTTGCTTTTCTAAGCTATGAGGTGGTAGCGGAAGCCAAAGGTGTCAGAGCCAGCACTGAGCAATGCATAGTTGCTGACTGGATGATTCCACCAGCTGATGTCAACAACCATGCTACTCCAGCAACCTTGCACTTTCACAGTGCCACTGGCTTGAGTACCCCCACCCCACCCCTTTTTCAACTTTTGCCTTCCAGTACAGAAAGGTAAGGGATGTGGGTGGCACTGTGATGTCAACCACTGAGCCTAGGGCTTGCCGATCGGAAGGTCGGCGGTTCGAATCCCCGCAACGGGGTGAGCTCCCATTGCTCGGTCCCAGCTCCTGCCAACCTAGCAGTTCAAAAGCACATCAAAGTGCAAGTAGATAAATAGGTACCACTCCAGTGGGAAGCTAAATGGCCTTTCCATGCACTGCTCTGGTTTCAACAGAAGCAGCTTAGTCATGCTGGCCACATGACCCAGGAAAAATTGTCTGCGGACAAACGTCGGCTCCCTCGGCCAGTAAAGCGAGATGAGCGCCGCAACCCCAGAGTTGTTTGTGACTGGATTTAACTGTCAGGGGTCCTTTACCTTTACCTTTTTACAGAAAGGTAAGGTTGGGAAAACTGCTTCCCTTTCTGTGGAAATGGGGTAGCTACCACAGGTTACCTACATTGTCATTATGTTATTCCATCCCATTCATTTTAATGCACAGGAAACCTAGTGCAACTTCAGTGGGGGGTGGGGAGAAGTAATCAATTACATAACGTGTGTGAACTGAAAGCAACAAGCTTTGTAGCCTGAAAGTGGTAACAACAAATGTATTTCAATTCTAGACATTGGATGAATAAGTGAACATTGGCTGGTGATTTCTGCTCCTATTTCTATCTTTGACATCCCTAACCCTAACTTCCCAAGTGCATAACTTGTGGAAAGATTGGGGTTGCCCCTCCCACGCAACTTATATTTTTTGCTAACTTCCCCCCCCCCGTGCCTTCCAAAAAATCAGGGCTGGGGGACTTTCCAGGACAGCAAAAATTGCCTCCCCCTGGTTTCACTGGTGAATGTGAGAAGCACTTCTGCTAATGGAGGGGCAACTGGGAATCCAAGGCAATGTTACATAGCATGTAGGCACCCAACAAGAAAATAGATGCTATGGTCTTATTCCCCACCTTATCAAATCTCTTTCCATAATTGGGGGGGCGTGGGGCGTGGTGAAGATTCAATTCATTGTGTGATTTATGAGCTGAGCTGCTTGTTTCAACTTTTATATTGAATATGCTTGACAATTAAAGATAATTTCTCAATATAAAACCAGTATCACATCTAGGAAGCAAGAAATAATGAACACAGTAAAATGAATTATGGCAAGCAGTTATGACTTTTAAACGAATTGTTTCTCTTTTACCTCAGAACCTGGCATAAAAAAGGAAGTCAGTCTACCTAAAGCAGGTAATGGGATACTTCTGTATTTAACAGAAAGCATTTGTGTTTTCTACAGACTGAATTATTCCTCTAGATAAAGCATTGCACTGGTCAATTTGAAGGGCATAATCTCAATTTGAAAATGTCAATATATCTAACAATATGTTTTTCAGTTCTTAATTTCTCTAATGGGAGACCTTCAACATCTCAGCAGCAATTTTGTGAGCCTCTATTATCCAAAATAAAAATGTAACGGTGGGTGACCTGGCATTGCTGCATGTTGTGTGTCATGCAAATGTATTACCATAATGTCAGCTCACAAACTCATGTCATTTTGCTTAGCTGTCAACCAGTATGACATTTTAAAATACTGTGGTATCAGTGCAATACACAAATTGGCCATGCAGGTTTTTTCCCAGTAGGGTCATTGAGCTTATTTTCCAAGTGGCAGAATAATTTTGAAAGCAAAAGTTTCTCAACAGAATCTCATCCATGATAATGTTTGCATAGACAAGAGCAATATTATAATTAGATGTGCATGTTGTTTGTGTAGACACAACTTTTCACAAGTTTGTAATTGGGCCTGACATTATCAATGGAGCGACACCAGCATTCAAAATATTTTTGCTCAGTTGTATATTTTTATTCAGTCATATTTGTATTATAATAATGCTGCTTATCCAAAACCAACTGTATTGTTTAAAACAGGGATAGCTATTGTGGTACCCTCCAAACGTTGCCTGCTATCTCCCACCAGCCCCAGTCAACATGGCCAATGGGCAAGTATAATGGGAATTTCAGCCCAACAATACTTCGAACACCCCATTTGGCTACCTCTGGTTTAAGCAGTGGCCATTGCAATAATAAGATACAACTTATAGACATAATGCATGTAAAACTATTATAGTATCAAGAGACAAACCCTTTCGTGCCCTGTTAAGTCCTTTTTCTCGTTGCTGTAAATAATCCAGACACCAACAGCTGTGTTAATTTTTGTTGACCATTGAAATTCTTGCAACAAAGTTATCTTCATCTAGTAGCTATATGTTTTGGGTGGATACTTTTTGAAAGTATACCGACATGTGTCTTACTTCATTTTCAGTTATTTTGGCACGCTCTTAATTGGTTTTGTGGATCATGTTGTAAAGGCCAAGATGAATGGAGGGGGAAATGTTGGCTGATTGTCTCAGTTTAGAAACAATGATGAATTGATGAAGCCATAGTAACTGACAGAGGGCATTGCACAACTAAAAAGAATTTATTAATAAATTAAGCCGTTTTCTTTAAACTGCACCAGCAACCAAATATATCTGAATAGCTGTGTAGCCCATTATGTCACAGTCTGGTTGGTCACTGGGAGAATGGGATGCTGGCCTAGGGGGGCCACTGGCCTGTTCTAGCAGGTTCTCCTTAGGTTCTTATGAATAAAAGTAATGGTTCTAGAGCAGGGGTGGGGAGGCTTCTTTAGATGAAGGTCTGCATTCCCTTCTGGAAAACGTTCTGGAGGCCGCATACCATTAAGTGGCAGAGCCAGAAGCAACAGTGGGCAGAGCAGTTAATTTGTGGGTTTTACCTTTGTGCTGTAGGATAGTTCCTATACACACAGCCCAGACAATCCTCCATTCAGGCAAGTAAGAAGCATTACCTGAGGACACACCACAGGCAGGCAGAAACACTCAAGGAGGGTGTGAAGTAGGTCTGGAGAAAGTGGTGTGACCTGGGAAATGTCCTGATGATCCCCACGGAGAGGTTTGGAGGGCCACAATTACCCACTGGGCCTGAGGTTCCCCACTCCTGCTCTAGAATAGCTGCTATTCTGTGTCTTAACAAATCCTCTTTCTTTCACTGCGTGCATCAGCCATGAACACAAGTGCAACAGACACAGGCATTCATTCTGTTAAATGACAGACAGATTTAGTAGCTGACAAGTTACCAAAAATATGTTCTGTTTTTAGCCCTCCCAATCTATGTTTCACTTGGCTGAAAGATTTTCATCCTGAGTCCCAATCATTGGTCCATGGGTATGAGGGGAAGGTGCTGTTTATATTAATATCTTTCCGGCATTCTGATAAAGGCACAACTTTATAAACACTTGAAATGAATATATAGAAAAAGTACTAACTGATGACTTGAGAGAGAGACCCTCAAAAATAGAGCTTCAGGCACCAATATCTGGCATAAGAGCCTGGAATCAATTATTTTAAGAGAGTCTCTTTTTTGTTTTTGACAATCCCTGTTGTATGACAAAGTAATAGGATGATATTGCATGTTGCAAAAGGATCAATTCATCCTTAAGCCATGCCTGTTTATTCTCCAACCATTTCAGTGTGGTTGGCATTTTACTTGGGATGCTTGGGGAATTACTTATTTGTAATTCTGATAAGAACTAGCCTGATCTGCACCTCCCAGATTAATGTGCTAATGTGCCCTTTTCAGAATTTTGAGATATAGTTGTCAGATAAAAGACCATATTGAGAGAAAATATGTTTGTAGCTGTGCACTTTGTAAAAAGATACAATCAAAAATACACATCTACATGTGTAGTTATTTATTTATTGTGCCTTTGTAACATAAATAAACCATGCAGGTTAATGTAGAAATGAGTCGTGGTGGACTTTGTCAGGCAGAGCTGACAAAGACTTATCTGTCCAACCGTGCACACAACCAACCATTTGTGCTGTTTCTGTGTAGTGATATGCTAAGAGCACGTGACACCATTTGCACTCTATCAGCTGAGATAGGATTTGGCATGAGTCAGTCCCACACAATTGTAGGAAAAAGGCATTGTGTTAATGAGCACACTGTTGTCGCTACATACGTGCCCATGCTGTAAAATCACCAAAGTAGGCCCTTCTATGCACAGTGTGAAGTATGGAGGGTGCATAACACCCTATAAATTAAAATATAACATTTAAAACCAAAGCATAAAAGATATACCGTATTTTTCGCTCTATAACACGCACCCGACCATAACACACACATAGTTTTTAGAGGAGGAAAATCCATAGGCATGCCACCGTAGGCATTCCCTCCATAACACACACAGACATTTCCCCTTACTTTTTAGGAGGAAAAAAGTGAGTGTTATGGTGCAAAAAATACGGTAATATTAACAATGCAACAGACAGACAATTGTCACTTCACATATAGCTGTACATATTGTACAGGGCCTGGGCAAAGAAGTATTTTGCTGACACCAAATATCCGTCATACTTCAGAGGGAACGGAATTCCAACCACAATGTGGCACCATGGAAACAGCGCTATACCATGTATCCAAAATGCTCCCCCGGTGCGTCTTCTTATTGCAGTGTAAAGCTACGAAGCTCAAATGAGTTTCATCTGCAATCTTTATTTTTATAAATGAATGTAGCTCACTGTTGTCTTTGTATTTTTCTAGGCAAGAAAGTGGAACACAAACGACCAAGTAAGTTGCTAAATTGCATAGCAGAATAATAAAAAAAAAACGAACAGGTGTCATAGACAGGGCCGGATTTAGGTATGATGAGGCTCTAAGCTACTGAAGGTAATGGGGCCCTTTGCGTGTCGAGGTCCCCAAGCCACCCCCCAAATAACTCACAACGCACACTTAATTTTTGTTTAAGGTTTTTGGCATAATTTTGGCCACAACTTTATTTAAATACAAAACCGTGAGTGGTTGTTTAGGCATTGGTTAAGACTATCTGTCCCCCCGCCTGGGGACAGAACTGACTTCCGGGCACCACCGAAAGACAGTGCGGGGGAAAGCAAGTCGGGGAGAAATGGAGCTGAGTCACAGACCCTCACCTCTCACCCGCTCCCCGAAGGCTTGCCAGCCCTAGTCCCATTCCAGGGATTGGACGAAAAGATGGCAAGCCCCAGGATTCCTTTAACGGAATTCCCTTTCCTCAGCAACCATGGAGGGGCAGGCCCAGCCTATCCTAACCCCTCCATGGAGGGGCAGGCCCAGCCTATCCTAACCCCTCCTCCACCAATTTATAACAAATGCCTAACCGCAACCTTACAAGTTGTGACGATTTGCTACGCAGTAGGCAAAAACCAAATGGCCCAGCCAATCTGCCAGATGGACAAATTCCTACCAGGCCCCCGCTCCAAGGCGGACGACCCCATGACAGGCATAGCAAGGTCAATGCAACAACCCCTTACTCTAGGGCGGGTGGGCGGGTGGGCGGGTGATCCGTTGCACACAGCAAAGAGAAATCTCCAGGGTGTGTGCAGAGTATTTAAACATTTTACCCCTCCCACCAAAATTGCAACATAACTTTTACCCCAGCAACCCAGTGAACCAATCACTGCCCCAGGCCATCTTTAGAGACCCTGCCTGGTAACAGAGGGGTGGCTCAGCAGACCCCACCGCAACACGTGCTCTCCATGAAGGAGAACACGCCTTGTCAACAACAAATTGTCACAGTTTTTTGTATTGAAAAATGCTATATGGTAATTTATTGACCTAATAGGTATCTAAAGCCATTTGCACAGGTTGCCATGCAACCAGTCCATGCAGAATGTAGGTACCCTATATATAGAAATGACCACACCAGTGATATTTTAAGGAACAAGCTAGCAGGCGGGACCCATTACTTACACCACAGGAGCCTACACAACACAAAACACTGTTGCTGTATGTAGGTTTTATTTTATTTGTTTTTTATCTTATATTTTGGAAATGTACATCCAGATTTTTTTTCCTTTAAAATTTTTTGGGGCCCCCAAGAGAGTGGGCACTGATCATAGATCCCATTGATTGGTCAATGAAAATGTTCCATAATCCTGGTTTTGGGAATGCAATACCCATGGTATCTGCCCACCTTTGAGTGCCCATGATCTCACCTTGCTCCCACTAGCATTTTTAGTCCGTTTTCTTAGTCCTCTTGTTCTCCCCCTAGCATCATGCTTTGGGTCCAACAACATAATCACTGTGACTTGTGATTACTTGTGATGCGGGCAGGATATAAAATCAATAAAATAAATACTGCTACTCCTTGCAGATTCCTCATGTGCTAAGCAATAGTTTTGAACCTCTGCTGCTGCTTTGCCTCAATTTCGCCCCTGGTATTATATGCTAGTGCTGTCTCTTCTATCCACTATTAAAATTGCCAGGTACAATCTAAAGCCACGGAGGATGATGGTGAACGTACTAGAATTCAGCTGACGTGTGACAAGAGCTGCAATATGTAAAACAGTGGCTTCCTCATATTTTTGACTCTAACCAAACTGCCTTGTCAGTTGGATTTACGCAGCTGTGCAATGGAGCTGAGTGCACAGTTTGCAGCATGCAGTTCTTACAATCAGCTGGCAAGTGTGTTAGAGAAGAGAACAAAAGGAGCTCAGTAAGGAATTAAAGAAAGGAATCTGGGGGAAATAGAAAACACCTTCTCCCCAACACATTGACTTTCAGTTTTTGTTTTTGTTTAAAGAGAAGTCAATGTATGTTTTTGAAGTTTATTTGTGCTAATGTCATGTGCCTTAAAACAAGGCGCTTGCTTTATGTTTTTTATATAGATGGGCCCCTTCCTTTGAATATTAAAGCAAGAGGTTGTTAGTTTTTTCTTATGCCAAGCCTTCTTTCAAATTCCAGTGGATTTTATTGCCTGTACTCTCTCCACAAAATTGCTTGGGTTTCCCCCCGGCACCCCAGAGCAGCTTTAAGGAATGTGTTATTTGACACGTACAGCAGAATCATCATTTTCAATACAGTCTTCATCACAAGCCTGGTAAATTTGGAGCCATACCTGATGATCTGATAACACTGATAGTTTTTACTTGGACTTTGTTATTTTAACTCATGTGCATTCTATGTGCCTGTTTTGTAGTTTCGTTTCTCAACTTTTAATTTTTATCCATTGTTATGATTGCTCTATCTGTTTTATATACTTTATAAAATGAAATGTTAAAAAGTAGGGGCATCCTGGGGCAGAGTGGTCTGCAATCTGCAGGATACAAAAAGCCCTTTTCCCTCTGGCCTGCTCCAGAAAAGGACCCAGAACTATACGCTCCTGGTGTTGGAATAGAGATTTTGCCTCCCGTCAATAACATTTCCTGGTTTCCACAGCACAATAATAGACAAAGAGCTTTTTGGTGCTTTCAGAAAACCCATGCAACACTTTTCAAAAATTCAAACTAAATATGAAATGACGCTGTCCACCTCCCTGGTGTTCCTCTTCTCTCAGGGCTATAAGGGTCTTTCTGCCACTGTGTCATGAATTGGAGCTGACAAATCGATCTATTTTTTATCCTTCTCTTAAGGCAGCTCAAATAACTCCCCTCCTCTTTCTGTTTGAAAATCTTACCATGACAGAATCTGAATTGCTGCATTTTTAAATATAATATTGAAAACACTAGAATTGCAAATGCATTTGAGTGATAATTTGAAAGCAAACCTGTATTTGAAAGCAAATATGTAGGAAAAATCTATTTGCTATTAACACATGTTGTGTTTTCAAACCATTATTGTATGATACTATGGCCTTGCCATATAAACATTCTCTATAGTAGCAGCTGATGGTTGCTTGGAGTTAAGCAGCATTATCTATCTTCCACTGGTCCTTATTAACTAGATTCATTCTGATTAAAAAGTACTGCTATGCCATTCCTAATTGGCAATCCATTATGATTCCTCAGAACCAATTCACTTTAGATCTCCCTTGAGTAATGTGACCCTTATCTTATGAAGTTTAATTATCACACAAATGGAAGCCCAGTTGCTTCCATTATACAATTCCTTGTTCTCTAGATCATAACCATGGTTGGGGCTCCACTGTTTATGCATTACAGTTCTTGAGGCTTTGGAGTTTAAAGGAAAATTAACAAGTTTATTTTACCCTATTAAGGTGATTAACAGAAGTATTTGAAGTCTGTACTCCCATTAAGATAGAAAGATGGGCTCCATTTACAGAAATAAGCTTTTGCTAATTCTTGTATGAAGTAGTTGCCTTTTTTCTTTTAGTAAACTGTTTCTGGAATGTACATCTGGATTATAGAAGTTATACTGCCTTTCCCTCCCCCACCTCCTGTAATGTAACCTCCTCTGTTATTCCACTGGCTTTGGGTAGGAGTAGTGTAGGGATACATAACTTTATATTTTAAAATATTTTAGCATTAATTCATGTTCATATTGGGTTTTTCTACAGTACAGTATTGTCTTTTTGGTGCCTGAATGGGTCCTATCTAGTTTCAGAGGAAGTAGAATAGAAAGAAGCCCCCTTCTTGCATGAATCTTAAGATTGCCATATCTGGCCTGGTGCTGGGCTCATCCCTAGACATCAACACATTGGGATGGACAGTCTGCATAGGGAAGTTCTATACATGATCCTAGCAGTACATGCTCATTTGGGGATGGGACCTGCAGTTATCCTGTGACACCCTCTTCATGACATATGACAGGGGTTATTTGACAATTTGGCTCCTTGTTTATTTCATGCTACTTCTGTCTTGTAGAACAAGAAAGCCTTAAACATGAAAAAGAAGTTCCTCAAGTAAAACCAGGTATGTATAAGCACGGAAAGATTTCCAGTCTGTGTTAGGTCTCAGCTGCAAATAAAACATTTTAAATGTGTTGTAAAGTGCAATATACAAATGTGACACTAGATGGTGACAGCGAGCTATGCCAAATTCAATGTATTTTTCAAAACTTTTTAAAAGCATTTTCACAGTGTTTTTTATATGTGTGTAGATTCCACCTCAGTTTCATTCCTGCTCATTTCTAACTCCTGTTAATCTATTACTTTAAAAGAAAGTACATACATTTTTATTTAAATGTGTATTTTATCCCAAATTATGCATCACTAAATGCATTTTATCCTTACATGCATCGTCACAGATTCAATAGTTGTTTAGTGGGAGCCAGCACAATGAGTGCTGCTAGTGCAATGGGACTTATTCCCCCACTGCTTACCCTACACACAGTGTGTGTCCCCATCAGTTCAAGGGGGGGGGGACGACTCACAGTACAGTGCATGGGGGGAGGATAGGGGTAGATTATTCCATCTGGCAGGTAAATATGCTTGTGCTGGTGGAATGATCAACATTGAAATATTCCCATAATCTTTCTAGTGTGAAATCTGAAGGATAATTATGTTCCATTAGTCTGGGAGGTGTGGATTAAATTGGTTTGCTTAAAATGCAAACCAAACAAAATTCTCCTCCACGCCTAATGTATAGTCTATTTTCAGTTCCTATCCATTCCAAATAGTGCCATTTGATACACAGAAACAAACAAGAAAATTGTAATAGCTGCACAGTCACTTGGCAAAGCAGGAAGGAGAGCTGACTAATCCAGCAAACTAATATGTCCTTGGGCACCTGGCATTATTCCTGTTCAACATAAATTTATGCCAAAAAAACAAGCAAGCAAGCAAACAGCTTGTTCACATATAAGGAGAGAATTCTGCTTTCCCATCTCTAATCAAATCACTAATGACCTCCATAGAGAATGTTTACCAGTTACCTAAGATTGTTTGGTGATTGTTCTATATTCAAACCCTTTTTAATCTCTTTTTACCATATATCTTTAAAACGATTGATACATAATTAAACAATGAAACAAGGAGGGGAAACAAGGGAAGGAATACTAAACCCAACAGAAATTGGTTAGGAGATCAAAAGAAAAAACTCTTCTGATGAAAGTCAGACAGGAGTGAGCAAAACAAGTATTTCCAAAAAGGACTGGCAGATTTTCACCAGGTAGAGAGGTGTCATGTTGAATACAAAGCATTTGGCTTGATTAGTCTTTTGGAAAGACAGTGCTGATGGGTAAGTTTTCCCAGCAATTCTATACATCACCTGTTGTCAGACAAGAAGTTCTCAGAACAGTTTATCATGGACTTCCAAAGAAACAGTGTTTCAAAGCCTAGCGGATATGAGCACAAAGGCAGTCAAATCTTTGAGTAACACCCTGGAAAGATCGTCAGATTATTTGAAAAGATCTGTATCATCCACCCAGTAATTCTGAATATTCCGAAATTTACTTCAGACCAATTTTTGGACACTTTTACAAAGTCTCACCACATATAAAAGTACAGTCCATGAATTCAACATTCCCTGTTACACATTTGACTCATATCTTTACACGTGGTATATATGATACCAAAATTGCTAATTGTATTTGACCTATGCAAAATATTAAGAGTATTCTTCTGAAACAGGACACATTCCAATTTCATTAGAAACAAGCTCCCACCTAAAATACATCCAGACTGCTTTGATAGCGCCCGCCCCCCCCCCCCCCCGGCTATTCCCTTCCATTAGAGTTGGGTGTTGGGGTTGGGTGATGGAAAGATAATGGGTCCATTTGTAGGGCCGTTTTTTGTTATGGGCCCTAACCTGATCAGAAACCTTCATTGGCCCTTTAAGTGTTAGAGCTTAAAGGATATACGTGGCTGCTAGAGGAAGCCCAGCTAGTCATAGCCCTACTCTGGTCAGGTTCTCATCTCCTTTAGTTACCGGTAGTTGTAGCAGAATGGGTCAACACCACTGAGTGACAACAGATGCATCTGGTTAGATCCAGAGAATACTGAGCAGAATTCTACTTGCACAGCGGTCCTTTTCTGGCTGCTTCCCCTGCACACATACACAAAGGATGCTCTGGAGGGTTCAAGAGATGCTCTGGAATGTTGTATAGGTGGGACAGAAAAATCAGGTGAATAATACAGGTATCTGAGCAACTGCAAATATTCAGTGATTGTTTCCATCATAATTACAATGGGTGGTATCCATCCAAACAATTCCACTATCACAAGAAGTTTTAACTTACCAACCCCCTCCTCTCCTCACAAGCTCGCTGCCAGCACCACCACCCAAAAAACCAAATCTGTTCTGGAGGCTTGAGGGAGGACCAGATGTGGTGGCAAGTGAGGAAAGACGAAGTTCTGTTGCCCAGCTAAAAGTCCTTTTGCTATTGGAACTGTTTAGTTTGATATTCTAATTATTATTTAAATAATAATAATAATAATAATAATAATAATAAAAAATAATTAAAATATCAAACTAAAATTATGCTTCTAAAGGGTACCACCACATTCTAATATGTATGTCAAGAATATACACAGTGCGGTATGTTCAAACCAAGGCCTATACCTCAGCATTAGCTCTCTCACTTCATTCCGTTCTCATATGCTTCTTTCTTCTTTTTCTTTCCAGCCAAGCCTAAAGAAACTAAAAGTATGTGCCATAGTACATTTATAACAATAGAAAACTAACTTTGCATGCATTGTAACAGAGCTATTCTCTGTTTTTCTTTATTCACTCCTCTGAAATATTCGTGATAATTATGCTACTGCTGAGACCTGCGGGTATTGGGTGGTTTACAAATTTAAAATAATAATAATAATAATAATAATAATAATAATAAGAAGAAGAAGAAGAAGAAGAAGAAGAAGAAGAAGAAGTGCAGAAGATTCTGACTCTAGCAGAGGGACCCCACAAGTGAAATGGGGGGGGGGAGGAAGCAATTTCACTGATTACTTCCCTCCCCCTTCAGCCCCCCCCAAATCTGTTCCAGATATTGGGGTTACTATTCAGAATAGGTGTGGAGAGTGACACTAGGAGCTGCAAGAGGAAAGGGAACTTGGCAAAAAAGCCTCTCCCGACCCTCATTTCTCTGGCAAGAACACCTTGATATTTTTAGGATCCACCTCATTTCTGTAACATTGGGTTGTTTAAAATTGGCTTTAGTATTGTGTAATACTAAAATTGTGTTTTAATATTAACATTGTGTTGTTGTAACCCACCCTGGAAGCATAGTTTAAAGGGTGGGGTAGTAGTAGTAGTAGTAGTAGTAAAAGGTAAAGGGACCCCTGACCATTAGGTCCAGTCGTGACAGTCTCTGGGGTTGCGGCGCTCATCTCGCTTTATTGGCCGAGGGAGCCGGCATACAGCTTCCGGGTCATGTGGCCAGCATGACCAAGCCGCTTCTGGCGAACCAGAGCAGTGCACGGAAACACTGTTTACCTTCCCGCCAGAGCTGTACCTATTTATCTACTTGCACTTTGACGTGCTTTCAAACTGCTAGGTTGGCAGGAGCAGGGACCGAGCAACGGGAGGTCACCCTGTCGCGGGGATTTGAACCGCTGACCTTCTGATCAGCAAGTCCTAGGCTCTGTGGTTTAACCCACAGCGCCACCCGTGTCCCAGAATTAATAGTAGTAGTAATTGCAGAACTTAACTTAGCAAATGCTAGTAGCAGTAAAGAGTATGCAGAATCCAACCGCCCGAGTTTTTGGCACATCCTATGCATTTCTGCTCAGAAGGAAGGGTCACTGAGTTCTGCTTCTGAGCAGGCATGCATGTGTTGTAAATGCAATTTGCATGCAGAAGAATATTTTGCACTTTTTGCACTTATAAGGAGGTGTTTTATACATATGCCTTTTTAAAAATAAAGAGATCTCGTGTTAAAGCCCCACTTGCCCATGAAGAACACTAACCTTGGGCCACTGACCACTTCACAGCCCAACCTCCCTCACAGATTTGACGTGAGGGTAAAATGAGAAATTTCCCATCTCCTTGGAGGAAGGGCGAGATTTAAATGCAATAACACGGCCTACAGCATAGGATTAGATTTAGAACTCCTGATTCAATTCCCATCGATGAAAGTCCATGAAATATGTATAATGATTCACTGCTTTGCGGAAAGCAATATTAAGTAAAATAGGAAGAATTGGCCGCACTGCAATCTAAATGTAATTAAACGGGGTTTTGGATAGATTATGTGAGAGAATATGAGCTGCTGCTGTTCTTGGTAGGTATACCTTTTTATGATTTATGCAGACTGCCCAGTGGGTTAGAAACAGTGTGTATCCATTAGAGAATTACTGTGGTCAGATAGCACTTTGCTGCAAAACAAGAAAAAAAAGAAAACAGAATGACTGGTGAAAATTTTCTGGCAAATCCTTGCTGTGCTATTCCCAATGGAGCCAGCAGATGGCAGCGATCCTTATGAATGTTTGTTTTAATGAGCAGAATTTGGTGTCTAGAATGCATTGCCACAAAATGCGTACTTTGTTCTGCCTTATCCTAGGAAACACACAGAGAGTGTGTTCATGTAGTTTTGGTTTACTGATATGACAACCAACATTTTTTACTGGCTCAATCTAACTAAAGATTTGCTGAGCATCTCACTGTGAAGTGAAAGGGTGAAACTTCAGAAATATTTATACAACTAAATCTATCAATGTAGTGACTATTTCACATCTCTTGGTATAACAACATACTGTTGTAGCGCAGGATTTCAAAATATATCAAGTTAATTAACTATGGATTTATAACCTCTTTGTAATCTTTGTGCTAGATCATGCAAATATATTTGCACTTAAAGGAAACCCTAAATTATCTACACATAGATAATAATAGCAATCAAGGAAATTAATTAGCACTGTATTTTTTAAAAAATAATTACTAATTCATCCTATTTCCATTTATCTTTAATTAATTGCCTGTGGCACGAGTTGATAATTTTGCAACATCAGAAGCTTTATTCACATTAAAATAATTGTTAACGCATGCTGATTGTTTTAAAAGAATTTCTGTTGTGACTTGATGCCTAAAATAGGAGACAATGTTTTTCTAATGAAACAGTGATTATCTCATTATCATAGAAATGCCATTATTGATGCCAAGATTATTTTGGAAGAAGTATTTGAACAAGGTAGTGCTGGGTTTTGTTTCTTTCCAGTGATCTGAAAGGTAATAGAGATGGAAGGTTCACAGTGAAACCAGAATATGTACCAAAGCAGAAACAATGCCTCATTATATCATGGGAGAATAACGTCTGACTTAAGTGTTTTGAGTCTGAAAAGGATTGCGATGGCCCATTATTAAAGATTTGCATTTCCCAAATTACATAGACTTGAATCCAAACATGTGCTTGGTAGCGACACCCCATAGGGTAGTAGGGTTTACCTTTAAAATGTGATATTTTTATGCATGGACCCAGGAAAGTCACGTGCCCAGTGTCAAATTAATAGCTCATGCATATGTTAACAAAAGTGTCATCGTATCCTATTATCAAGATCTTCCGCTTATTTCCTTCCAATTTTTCTTATTTTTCATTATTATTTCCATATACTCATGCATACCTTCCTTGAAGAACCATCAGCTGAAACCACAGTAGCAGGTAAACATCATTTCCCCCCTTAGATATTGAGCAATAAGAACAGGTTCACCATTTGACTTAACGGAGCCTAGCATTTCTAGATCTTTAGCTCATAAAAACTGCCATATCCACTGAGCTCCATGAAAACTGATTAGACTTGCCTTATCAAAGGATTTGGCTGAAACTGTCAGTTTATTTTATTCATTCACAGTTGCTGCAGATGTAACTGGAGACTTATTGGGAGCAAGTCCTATTGAAATCAGTGGGATTTGCTTCTGCATAGGATTGGGCACGCCAGGTCCTTAGGAGTTTGATCTAGGTTGGTCTGATTAGTGGCAGCCCAGCTTGCAGCTTAGCAGATAGTTTGTGCTGTAGAAGACACTCAACCAAGCTGTATTAAAGCGAGCCAGATCAGGTTGGTGGGGGTGGGGAGGATGAACCAAGGCAGACTGCCAGATAGTTGCTGCTGTTCTCAGCAGGGAATGGCGAAAGTGCCTGCAGCACTGCACCTTTGTTAATTTCAATCTGCCTCCTTGTGTGAAGACACAGATGATTGACTCTGTTCTCGGAAGCCTGAAAAAGAGCATATGTGTATTCCAGAAGGTTTTGAGATATGGCTCAATGGAAGTCCATAGAGCGGCATAGAATGGTGCAAATATAGTAACTAGGCCACTGCTGGTCACATTCGCTCTTGCTACTGCTGATGGAGTGACACAGCAGACATGTCCTTCAGGTGCTTTTAAAACTAAAGTGTGCAAATATTCAAGGCTACTAAGGTTTAATCATTATGCCTTGGAAATCTCCCCAGCCAAGAAAAAAGAGACGCCTTTGAAGGAAAAAGAAGGTAAGGGCTCAATTTCTTTAAACGGTCGTTATATTGCAGATGTGCTAATTTCCACCACCCCCATCCCGAAAAAAGAATCAACAATGTGCATTGCATATTTTGATTTTCAGCTTCTTATACTGTACTTTATTTCTCACTTCTTGATCTACATAGGGGAAAAAGTGGAGAAGGCACATTTTAAAGAAAAAAAGGTCACAGGTAATACAAGTAGCTACATATAAAACCTTGTAAGCCATAAATCAGGGGTTTTATATTTCATGGGATTTTCTTTTCAGTGACAGGAAGAACAGCAAAATTCTAGAGTATTATATTCAGCTAAAATAATAAGGGTGTGCTTAGCTTTCCTACAAAGCAATTAAATCAAACTCCTGCAGAACTCACCCAACAGAGATGGCTGACGCACATGTTTCTATGCCTGTATACTCAAAAGAATTATCTGGCCTGCCATCCGCCCTCCATCATCGGGATATATCAGGAACATTTGACACAATTATTTATTTTTCCTGCATGGAGAACAGCTCTGTAGAAAGAAGTGTGAAGCATGAGTATCGGTCGTATGGCAGCCCAGAAGTGATGAGCTGATTTACATTCCATGTTGAAGAAAACTTACATATCAACCAATGCTTCGAGAAATGAATCTGTGCCATCTCCACACGCTGAATTCAGACCAACCCAGCTTTTGGCACACTTTGTTGTGATGTTCCAAAACATAAACTATCCTGAATGAGACACAATAGTGTGGCTCTTTATCACTAAGTGGGTAGGCCCTGTCAACAGGACTTTCTTTGAGCATACATTATAGAAACTTCTTCATTATGGGGGGAAATAGGTTATAATGCTGTATAAAGAGCTTCTGTAAAAGCTCCATTTAAATCCTACTTGGGTAATTTCCGCTAATTACCCAAGGAGTGCAACACGTCAGAAATGCTACAAGATTCTAGTGAGGAAGCAACTTTGGAGTTGCTCCTGGGAGCTTTGTCAAATGCACTCCCCATAATTTTTTTACTAGAACAGAAAGAGATGTGTGATATTTCATGGTGGATTCCTTATAAGTATTTTCAAATGACAGCTAGGGAAATATAACATTGGATGCATCCCTTAATTTATTTCTTTTTAAAAGGCGAGAAATATGTTCTTAATTTTCAGTTCTCAGCAGCCAATTGAAACATTTTCTGCTCTTAAGCAATAATCTCTAAATGATTCTCTAACCCAAGAATGATAGCTCCAAGAGACCAGGATGTGCCTTTTCTTCCCCATAATTCTGCACATTGTAACCATGATTGCATATGTCCAGATTGTAAGAATTGCAGATGACCTCCTTTGTTAAGTGTGAATGTTCACAAGATGGTACAATGTCAGATATTAATAGTAGCATTTATGAAACTTACAACTTCTAGAGTAGCTCAGAGACTTCACAGTTCCCAAGGCTCAGGAGCTTCCCTGAGCTGTATCCCTTCATCTCCCTGAAGCTTTAGCAAGCTCTAAGATTTCTACTGCCATTAACTAAACAGTAGCATTACAAAGCTCCCTCTCAACAGTCCTATTTCTCTGGGTTGTCAGGGTGGGGGTGAACAAACATATTCCGATTCTGGGTAATTTGTAGGCATGTTTGGGAAAAGATTTGATCTAGTTAAAATACAGATTTTGGCATGAAGATTAACATGAAACCTGGGTTCAGCCCTAGTTTAGAGACATTGGTACAAATAATAATAATAATTTATTTATATCCCGCCCGGGCTCACAGCCAGGCTCAGAGTGGCTAACATCATGCAAGTAAGACAGTGCATAAAACAAGCGATCAATAAATTAAGATACATCCCACAATTAATTCAAACAAATTAAAATTAAAACTGGACAAGTGACGATCTTCAGGTCGAGGCCAGTCTGATCTCTCTGGGGCCTGAAATCTATATAGAATCATGCTGCTTAGATAGTTTCTTGTGAAGTATCTGATTAGAACCTCTTATCCTGCAGCAAATTGCCAAAAGAATGTCCCTTTCCTTATTTTTTGTGTTTTGGTTTTAATTGAGCATGTTGTTTAAATGCCCAATTCCAATGATTTCTTAGAAATTAAAATGTGTTTAACAGGGCACCAAAATGTGATATTAGCGTCAGAAATATTATTGCTGTTGTTGTTTTAACCTGCACAATGCATGTGACTTAACAGGGTAATATGCAACTGATGATGTTGATGTTGTTGTTGTTCTTATAACCCACCCATCTGGCTGGGTTTCCCCAGGCACTCTGGGCGTCTTACAACATATATAAAACATAGTAGGTTTAATGAGGAACTTTAATGCCCAAATTGACCTTGGGAATGTAAATGAATTGGATCTTTCTGTTTTGCTTAACAGTCCCAGCAGTAAAAGAAACCCACTACCATCACAATGTGACAACAGGTAACCAACAGTTTTTTGCTCTAAGTTTCCAAAGTCACCCAGTCCTCTAATGGCTACATGTGTACAGCTCAAGCTGAATATTAGTAGGGATGAACATATAAACATTAGCCAACCCAGAGAAAATAGGCCTTCTTAAATCCAATTAAAATGAATGGGTCTTGTCTATTAATGGGCATAATCTGCCATAATTGAATGTTAGTTTTGAATTCAATGGAACTTACAAACAACTTTCTCTCAGTTTGAGCCAAGGATCATACATGATGATTTCCCATGTTTGTCTTCAGTGTTTGCTACTTTGGCAAGCTGGTCACCTCTACTGTCATGTCAGTTGGCCAGGATAACTCTACCACTCCCCTACTTTACCAGATTTTTTTGCTCAGATAAGATTTCCCATGTTACTTGACAGCACTGTACTGGTGGTCTATGTTCCTGCACATGATCCTACTGGATTTGCTAATCAGCTTTATTCACTTGAAATTATTAACCACATATGTGAATTGAAGCAGTTGGAGATAAACAGATTTCTTATATCCCTGATGGATTTTAGTGAGCAAAACAGATTAATACAGAAAGTGTGTCCTCTTTCCCCTTTTGTCCACCCTACAAAAACACATGAGAAAAAGAAGGAAGTCCTCAGTGGTGCTGTTTACAGTACAAATCCACCTAACTGCACATTTCTCTTCCCAAAGTATAGATTATTGGTTGGTGCAATTCACACACACACATCCAGGATTCTCCCATAGCATTCTGTGAGGAATGAAATGTTCATGTGGTACATAAAAGAGAGACTGGTTTTGAAGAGATGTAGTCACTAGTTGTTTGGCTGACCTGGGAGCTACAACCAGAGCAGGTTGGACTCCATTGTAATAAAAAATGAAGTGCATGTTTATGAATATATACTTTGAGTTTGGATTGCCAATCTGACAGCCCCATAATCACTCCCAAGTGCAGTACATGCCCAGGATCCCACCACTCACAACAATGGCTCTCTTCATTTTTCAGTGGCAGAAGCCAACTGTTTGCCCTACATAACAACCTATGTGCCATTTTACTTGCCTAATGCATGTTTAGATCATATTAAAGGTGTTTTCTTAAATTAGTATTACGAATCAGTTGCAGTCTGAGTGCAGATCGCATAAATTGGAGCTTTACATTTGCTCTTTATTCTAATAAGTAAAGTTGCACCCCAGGGAAAGATGAATGAATTAGGTAGCAAGTAGGAAGACAAGTGAAGCTGTGTCTCTTGCTGGAGCTTATCATTTTTTCAAACACGTTTACCCTTTGCACCCACCGTGGTAGATAACAGTAGGGTTTCTTAGATGTTTGCCTGGGCAAAGCAACATTCTCCAATCACATTATCAAAGAAGTTGTTCAAGGGCATATTGTCATCATCACTGCCTGACAACTTCATATATTCATCTGAGTTAACTTCATCAAAACCTGTATTAATAAGCAAAGAGGGTGGCTGTTAAGTTGTTCAATTGTCTTTCAAGTTCTCTCTGTCTCTCTGACATACAACTTTCTTTCCTTTGCAGACAAGATTTCAAAAGCTGCAAGAGCAAGTAAGTTCTGCTTAGGGTTAACAACACTGCAAACTTCTTTGATTCTCAGGTGACATATAGTACATGTCAGTATTGTACAAAACACAACTTGGGTTATCAAAAATATTGTTATTTATTCTGTCAGGGACTGAGAAAGAATGAGTCATTTGCCCTTGAAAACTTCATAGGCCTATCGGGAAATGTAATACATTTTTAACCCTAAAATATAAATGTACTACTCCTGATGCTGCTATTCTGTTATGGGATTTGAACAAGAAGTCAATTTTCAGAAGAGCAAAGGGTTTTGTTTTGTTGCCACTTGCACATGAGAAATAATGGGAAATTCTAGACACTGTGGTTTCCATGTGGACCACACCAGACAGTCAATCAGGCTTTCCAATAAAGTAAAGGTACAGACCCCTGGACAGTTAAGTGCAATCAGATTCGACTATGGGGTGCAGCACTCATCTCTGCTTTCAGGCCAAGGGAGCCAACATTTGTCTGCAGACAGCTTTTCTGGATCATGTGGCCAGCATGTCTAAATGGTTTCTGGTGCATGGAACACTGCAGTTGCTTCGACAGAATTCCTGAATTTTGCTGCTAAGGTTGGTGGCAGTTTGCTGGTAGCTAAAACAGAAAATGTAAGCCCACAGAAACAAATGCACACCCCTACCAAATGAAAGATGCAGGTAATTGAATGTTACAGTGACTGAATTGCCTTAAATACATGAGTCTTCATCCCCATTATCCTGCAATATATTTTGGTTTTTTTCTTATAATTTGGCATACTAAATCCCTTGTGCTAGTGGGTTTGTTGTTTAGTCGTCTTAGTCGTGTTCGACTGTCCGTGACCCCATGAACCAGAGCATGTCTTGGAGAAACTCACTTTCTTTTCAAAGCTTCTCCTTTTTTATGTCCTTGGAATTTTCTTGGCAGAATACTGGAGTGGTTTGCCAGTTCCTTCTCCAGGTGGATCACATTTAGTCTAAACTCTCAGCTATGACCTGTCCGTCTTGCGTGGCCCTGCACGGCATAGCTCATAGCTTCTCTGAGTTATTCAAGCCCCTTTGCCACGACAAGGCAGTGATCCATGAAGGGGGCTAGTGGGTTAGAAAACTACAGATTTCCAACCCACTTTGATACCAGTGCTTAGGTTCAGGGCAATGCAAACGTAAGACTTACAAACTGTAAGAAGAGATCTGACAGATGACAGCTTAATGATGCAATTCACAAGCCAGTGATGGCATTTTCATTCTTTTAAATGGATGGGGATTATTGTCACAGAGAGGTCATGAGTGTATCTGTGTGTATCTTTTTGCACTTTGCAAACCAGTACTGAATATAATCCTCTACTGGCTCTAAGACTAATTAGTTAACTTTGCATGTTGAAGAAATGATTAGAACTGGTTTTGTTTTTATTATGTTCTTATCTACCCCAAACATAGGTGATCTATTCAATACCCAACCTATGGCAGAGTAAAATGGAGGACAATAACACTCTTTAAAAACTGGGCGTGTATAAACACTGCACAACCAGGAATCATATTTTAAATTCCAAATAGGGGTTGAGATTAACGTTAGATTAAGGTCCTGCGCAAATATCTGAGGATATCTCTGTGTGGAGGGTGTGACAATCTCGTTTCTTTTTTGGACTCCAGCAAAATTTTATTGTAGGCCAGAATGGTAGTTATTGTTTCCTGATCATCTAAAAAAGGTACATCTTCCACGTTGTAGAAACCCTTTAAATATTGCCCACTGGCCTAAAGGTAAAGGTAAAGGTACCCCTGCCTGTACGGGCCAGTCTTGACAGACTCTAGGGTTGTGCGCCCATTTCACTCAAGAGGCCGGGGGCCAGCGCTGTCCGGAGACACTTCCGGGTCACGTGGCCAGCGTGACATCGCTGCTCTGGCAAGCCAGAGCCGCACACAGAAACGCCGTTTACCTTCCCGCTAGTAAGCGGTCCCTATTTATCTACTTGCACCTGGGGGTGCTTTCAAACTGCTAGGTTGGCAGGCGCTGGGACCGAACAACGGGAGCGCACCCCGCCGCGGGGATTCGAACCGCCGACCTTTCGATCGGCAAGCCCTAGGCGCTGAGGCTTTTACCCACAGCGCCACCCGCGTCCCTTCAAGCCCACTGGCCTACTTGATTACAAATATGGCAGCCCCTTTACAATTAGTGAAGCAGGGGAGGGAGATGCCTGCCTCTTGCTGTGTGTGTGTGTGTTCCTCATGTAAAGAACAGCCTCCCCCCCCCCCCAAAAAAAAAACCCGTCCCTCCATCACAACCCCCACAAAGAGCCTAATGCTGTTTGCCTTTCATCAGAAGAACACAGAGAGAGTCTTATATAACCACACTCTGGTTAACCTCAGTTGTTGGCAGGGGAGGGGGGAGACTTCTGCAGCATTAGGCATCCATCCATGAACCCAAGCTAGGCAAAATACCTCCCAGCATAAAGTCATACGATACTGTGCTTCAATTACAAGCCATCAGTTTCTATTAGAGATGCTTGTGGTTTTTCAAGGGTTTCTTTTAGTGCACAGTCCAGACAGAAAAGAGGATAATGGGGTTTCCTCAAAAACGGGTGGCTTTCCCCAACCCACTACCTAATAGGTTACATTTAGTATTTCTAGGGACTGCCATTTTTAAAAGGTGGGTGAATTGTCTTGGCACATTTTTGACCTTTCATTTTGTTATATGTAAAGTAGAACTTGCTCATCATCTCCCCCAGCATCTTGAAATGGCCAATGCCCAGTGGCCTAGAGGTTGAGGGGTTTTTTCCTGCTGTAGTGCCAGTGAACGATAAAGACTAGGGTGGTTGTAGAAGTATGTGTGGATCTAAAGAAAATAAATAAATAAATAAATGTAGCATCTAAACCAGCCTTCCCAACTGGCTCCCCTCCAGATATTTTGGACCTCCATCTTCCTTTAAAAAAAAAGAAATCTGGTAAGAAACAAAGAATAGAATAAAATAACAAGACAAAAAGAAAAGAAAAGCTGTGTGAAAAAGGGGGGTTCACAGCTGTTACCACATAAAGTACATTCTCAAGGGATAATATTACACAATGAATTAGATGTTGCAACAAAAACTGACCTGATATAAAGAGAATACAAAGCAAATGTTATGATTAGCAAATAAAACCATATTTCATTGAGACCTGCCATCCCCATAATTAACCTGTCATGGTTGTCCAATGAAGACAAAATCAATAGGTTTAGCTGCACCCCAAGATACCCTTAATTTATGAGTCAGGTTTTTTTCAGAAATGAGGATAAAACATTAATTTATTAAACAAAATGTGTAAAGAAAATGTCAAGGACTCCTTCTAGCCCTGCAATATGGTCAAAGGAGCAGCATATGTTTTAGGGACCGTATATTGGTTAGCACGTAGAACTAGACCAAGGTTCAAATCCCCACTCAACTCGTGATACCAGTTTACACAGTTGCGGCTTCCCTTAAAAAAACCTGGGAGTTGTAGTTTGTTAAGAGTGCTGAGAGTGGTTACGTCTTAGCACCTTTTGACCTCTTGCCTGTATTTTGCCCGTATTGTCACCTTTGCTTGTCATATCTTCATCTTCCATGATCTGCTTCTTGACTGCCAGTCCTGACTTCAGGGTTTGTTTGCTTGCCAGTGATGGAGGCAGAGTTTCTGTTCCTCTTCATTCTCAGGGGCTCCCACTTCTTGGACGGCTCAGTTTCTTTTGGTTAAACCCCCTTGTTCCTGGTCAACTTATTTCTGCTGCAGTGGTCTCCTTCACACACCATTTGAAGAGTTCAAAGAAGGGATAATAGCTGGTGAACACACTCCCAATGCCCAGGCTGAGTACTTTGCAGCCTAGGCAGAGGCCCAGGGAGGTTTTCTGCCCTGTCATCACTATAGATTTACTGAAATTGTTTGATTTCATTAGAAAATGACTTAACCCAAATAAAGGGTCAGTAATCAGGGGTGCAGGGCGGGGAGGAAAGGGAGGACATTTACCGTTGTGCAATAATAAATCCTTGTGCTGATGAAATATTTGCCTTTGCACTAGGTTGAATTTTCCATCCATAATGTTGATCCTGTCTTCAATTAACGTGTCAATACAAATGAATAATTATTTTGTTTTCTCACATTGTCTCTTAAGAAAAACCTGTCTGCATCACCATTTCTGCCAAACTACTTTGCTTTAATTAAAAATGTCTGCTGGGTGACCTGTTTCTGACACACATAACTCATTACATATTTTGCTCATGGTGGAATTGCCCAGAGATGCCTCTAATTAGCCAAAATAACAGTTTTTTATATTCAAGTCAAGATTTGTGGCTTGATTTTATTTTTTTACAGTCTTTAAACAACTTTGAAGAAGACCAGCATCAATAGTTTATGGCGTTTTCATAACAGAGCAGGGATTTAATTGGTTTAGTGAAGGTTCAGGGCAGCTTCATATGGCATGTTTTATGCTCAAGTACAGATGCCTCATTCTTACCTGGCTTCCTTTTGTGTGTAGGGAAAAGTGGCAATTATTCATCGGTGTGTCTTCAATAATTAGCCGAGTGAGAATGTGTTCCCCTGTGCATATGTGTCTTTAGGGAGGTTCATGTGACCCTCCACAAACACTGAAATAACACAAGGGGCATTGTGGGGCTGCAAAGGCTCGCCTCACCACAGGCTCACTCACAAAAAGGTTCCCCCTTGTATGGAGAATCTTTTCTTGGGTGTATGTGCCCAAGTTCAAAATGCATCATGCAACATATGCATGGCACAAGGATTTAAGAAAAGAAGAAAGCTTTCTTGGAAAACTTGACTGGTTGTGTTGATACACAGGGCCTGGATAGCTCAGTTGGTTAGAGCATGGTGCTGATAATGCCAAGGTTGCAGGTTCAATCCCTGTATAGGCCAGCTGCATTTTCCTGCATTGCAGGGGGTTGGACTAGATGATCCTCAGGGTCCCTTCCAATTCTATAATTCTATGATAAACAAGAGCAGATGAGAAGGGACATGTATAATACATGGTTGTGGTTCGAGGACCCGATCCCCACGTAGTGGAATGAAAACAGACGGACACGTGATGTAAGGTTAATGGGCAAGAAAAGGCCACAACTTTATTGATGACAGCAAGTGAAAAGGTATTGGCTTAGGCAGTGGATCACCTCAGTTGAAGTGAGGGCCGCGTGGCTGGCGCAGCAGCGAGTTAAGTTGCAGTCCACGCCCCTTCCAAGGCACGTGGTTGGGCGCTTGCCCGTGGGCATGGTGCGCCAGCCAGGTGAGTGGGTGGCAGGGGGCTAACGCCCCCTGCTTGAGGCGGAGCTCAGCTCCCGCCCACAACCCCTCCCCTCATTTGCAGGAGGAGAGGCTTAACTGAACTGGATACACACACACATACAGGTAAGGGCTTATACTTTTAGCTGCAGGAACCAGGGATACTGTTACACTCCATTTAGCCTTGTTACTTCAGAAGATGATGGAAAGTCCAAATAATTATTATGCAAAAATATATATTTGCATATATATATTTGATAAGGAAGAGTTCCTCGTAAATACATAGTTTTGGGGTTGTGCCGTTCACATACTGCCTTCCTTCTAGAGGCCTGATATTTTCAGACACTTATCAGCCCAATCCTGTCATCTGGATCTAGAATTGGGAACTGACTGTAAGACTCAGGAGAAGGTTAGCCACCCCGCTGCAGTGCCTGAATAATAATAATAATAATAATAATAATAATAATAATAATAATAATACCTTCTATCACCCAAACAGTGCTGGTTTTATATTTTCCCCTTTTCCATCATTGACCTAGAAACACAAATATTGTTTTAAGTTTCTTTTTACTAAAGAACCTTGCATTTACTACTTTTTTTATAGAGGGACACACTGATCTAAGTGCAACAAAGAAAGATAAATGTGAGTTTGTAACTGGAATGTTTTCTTACTGTATCTTATTTCTATTAATAAAATAAGAATGGTGTATGTGAGGTTCAATTTCAGTTTGATTTGAAAGATCATGTCATTTCTAGGTCATAATATTGGATTTGTTGTGTAGAGGTAAACAAGCATGGGGGAGATGAGATTGCAGGGGGGAGCGGTTATCATTCACGTTGGTGTGATGGCACCAGGTCTAACTATGTTGAAGAAAGTCAATCCTGACAATATTATAGATTTATATGGGAGCTATCTGAGTATAATAAATATCAGGTGTGGGGAACCTGTGGCCCTCCAGATGTTGTTGATCCCCAGCCTGCATGGCGAATGGTCAGGAATGATGGGAGTTAGAGTCAAACAACAGTCAGTAGGAATGTTAACCTACACTTTGGTAAACTTGCTGTTACCTCAGATTAATTCCACTTTAATGCAATAGTGACCAAAACCAAATGTTAGTGACCATTCTTTTTCTTTTTCCTTCCCAGCTGCTGTCCGCTATTATCAGTGTGTCTTTGTAAATGGATACAATGGGCATAAATCCCAACACCCTGTTACTCCAGCTCCAGACTACAAAGGGAAGGCTGGACAGCCAAAGACTTCTGGGCCAAAGACCAAGGCACCAAAACAATAAGAGTCACGCAACCTGCGACATTATGACAATTTTGCACTTTGTGCCCTGTACAGAGGGCCACGTGAAATACATTGGCACCTGTGATCATAGAAATGTGATCCAATAGGTCACATGCACTTGGAAAGGTTGTCTGCTCATCTCCAGAGGAGCAGAGGCAAAAAGAGGGGAGATGTAACAGCATTTTAGAGAATCTCCAAGTACTCCTTTCCTGAAGGGAAGCATGGTGCTGAAATAGTACTTGACAAAAAGTAAAGTTGTGTATGTGTGTGTGTGTGTGTGTGTGTAGGGGGATGTTCTTACAGATGTTTCCGTCTTGTGTTTTCAAAGTCTTGTTGGAACAAAAAGCATTTTCCAAGTATCAATTTACAACAAATGTCCCACTCAAAAATACTTAGGCACAGGAAGAATAATTTGTGACAGTATTCTCAATCTATGCTTGTGTTCATTTAAATGGATCAATGCCAAAGTTATTTGCTGAATCATAACTCTGTTTCAGGAGCTTTTCTTTTGTCCTTAAAGAATACACTGTATAGCAATCTGATGATCTCTTTGGAGGCATGCAATGAAAACCTGCCATATATCTGTGAAGATAAACTCAATTATTTCCCAGTTTTCTTTTAAAAAATGGAGGATATGCTGGGCTAGCAGAGATGAACTAAATGAAGGATAAAGAGTTTAGGGGTTTTTAGACATGGACTTGGTGTTTTAAATTTTTTCATATGCATTATCCCCAAACTATTCCAAATCATATTCAGTATTAGCATACAATGTATAAATGGGAAAAACCAGTAACTATTTGGCCCTGGAGAGATACAATGGGAAACTATGCTACTATTATTGAAGCAAATTATGTACTCAGCTATATATGTCTTATTTGTGCAGTACTGTCCCAATTAGATAAAGTAAGATTATGCTCAGTTTTGCTGCATTTCCACAAACACTACACTCTTAATTACTTTTAGTTTGGAGACTTGAAATGAGCATCTAACTCCTAATCTATCTTCATTTTATGTTTTGAGACTGATTTCTTAGCATCAAAATGAAATGCACAATATTGGTCTAGATGAGGATGTCGGAATATCATTATTCCAATTGTCAGTCACAGTAAGTCTGTAAATAATAATGTGTCCTTGCAAACAAGTTGTTCTATATATTTGTGTTTTGTCTATGTTGTTATACACTTGTAGTTACAATGTCAAACCTCATGAATGTTTGTAGGATACTTCTTTAGACAAATCTACTTAACACATGTAAACTTTATTGTGTATACTATGTTTCCAGGAGGAAGATAACATTACCATAGAACTGGCATTTATTTTTATAGGAAGGTACAATTATTCGGATAAACTGTGCCTTAAGAGACTTGACCAGTTCACGACAATGTTTGGACATCTCTTTTTTTCACCTCTAGGTCAAGCTAGAAGTGACTGGAATTCATAACAGTCCAATTACTGCCACTAGTGGAAGGGAGGAAGTCCACTATGTGTTGAACTGGTACCTAGTAATGCAATCCTATGGATGGCTTCTCAAAAGTAAGTCCCACTGAGTTCAGGGACCACACTGGGTATAAGATAGAAGCCTAAATCAAAAGAGACCTAAGTAATTTAACTACATGGTAAATTGTCCTAGTGAGAAGAATAGCTCATTGGAAGTACAGACTTTCAGGACTGCTTCCTTTGCTATAGACTTTTCCATGGATAAGTAAAATGAGTAAGGATAACAACTTTAACCAACAAAGTTGTTTTGGAAAACAACAACTCTAGTGCCTTTTCAGTGTATCTGCAAAAGGCACTTCTGATATCTCTCAATGCAACTGTATCTATAGATACAAAAGTGATTGACCTTTTTGATATCATGTCATGCTTGGTGAAATAATTCATACTTTATACCTCATAAGAAACACCAAGACTTTTAACAGTGCCTGATCAAGATGTGAAATTGCAGAGCTGGTGTCAGATTAATTTGTCACCAGACCACCTAGATCAGGAATGAACTATGCTAAACAATGAGTGCAGAGGTTTCAGATCCCAAATGCAGGATCTGGCCTCTTGTAGATGGATGGCATCTACCTCCAATCTTATGACACACAGAAACCTTAAGGTTCTGTCATTTCTTTTTCTTAGCTTTGTCTATTGTGTAGTATAGATGAATTGGCTTTCCAAAGACCTGCCAGTTTAGCTTGTTTTAAGCCAAAGTTTTCCTGAGGATTTCATTTGTTGCTCATTATTGCGAGTTTCAGTTAAAACTTTTTTTAGCTTTTTAATTTGGGCTTTTTGAAGATTTCACCTTCTCAGTGTTATTTAACTGTAGAAAGTACCATAGCGCATTTGAGAACCGGTTTCCTTCTTTTTTCCCTTCCAATACCAGAAGGGCTTAGACCAGGAAATAAATAGCTAGCTTTAATCACAATGTCAAAGTGGTATGAATCAGACATTGGCCCTTGATCTCAGAAATATTAATTGCTTTGCTTTGCAAACGAGTTGAATGTTGCTTCATAAAGCCAATTAATCTGAAACCTTGATATACCATTACTTGAATTGCATGTTTTATCCATAGAAACTTAACTTTGAAAGATGGGTATATTTGTTGCTAGGGATTTTGCAAAACAAAATGCGTGTCTCCTAGTGGCTGTGGCACATTCTTATCAGTGTGAGAATTTTTTTGGGGGGGCACCTAAAAGTAGCTTTGTTTATGTATAGCTCTAAACAAATTTCCTGTCCGTGCTCATATTGTTATCACCAAGAATTAAATATAATGAGTCTCTTTCTACATGGGTCATGTTCAATGTGTGCATTGTTACAATTTCACTCAACATCTTTAGCCAAAATCCTTTACTCCTAAAAATATATATGCTTTTGTGTGAGAGCAAAGACTACAAGAGATGTTGTCTAAGAACTATGCTTACCAGAATGCATCGAGACCTGGTGTTAAAAGACAAAATCTTCATCATGAAAATATAGGTCCCAGTGTTTTAAGATAAATATGTTATGGTTAAATTTTTGACAGGAGATAGGGATTAGAAGCATAAAGCTTTGTTAGACAACTTGTACAGCATCCCTAGGTGGGTTCAGGAAGGAGTAGCAGACATCACATATCAGGTCCTGCTAGCTAACAATGACTAGGATAGAAGCGGGTGGTAGATGTTTTTTCCTTACCTTTTCACTATGCCATGTGCTGGTGTACCTGAGGGATTCAAAAGATGTAGCCCTTTGGGGAGTCCATAGGGGGACTGGATCCGGCAGATCCAAAGCTTCCCCCATCCTTGAAAAACCCTGTTTTGTGGCCCATCACCTGAAACCCGGCAGTATTTTTGCCCTACTAGCACAGAGGAAGCAAAGTGTCATTCTAAGCCTACTCTAGCTATTAACATCAACAGATTAGGACTGCACTCTAGGAGCTTCAAGAAAAGGAAAGAAAGGTCAGGGGAGGAACACATAAAATTAAAATAGAGCTATTGGTAACAGGAAAAAATTCTGTTACATTGATAAGTAAACATTTGAATATGACCTAAGACTGGTTTTCCACAACTTCCACTGTGTATGAGGTGCCGCATGGATCTCCCAGTTGCCCAAAGTAGCAACACTACATGAATCACTCTGGGAATAGCTCAAGCATAAGCAAAGAGAAATACTATGGTGGGAATTGGTAGATTTAGAGGCACTTGTGTGTAAATAAGGAGAGTATAAATATGGCTAGGAAGCTATGTGAAAAGGACACAAGATCTGAGAATTATTACACAGTGAACAGAAGCGGACATGTTTTACAAATGGGAGGGGAGCAGAGTCATAAGATGAAAGCATAAAAAGTGGCTGCAAGAGGGGGGAAACAGGGACAAATCACCATTTTGAAGTTGGGAGAGGAATGCTGAGAAAATTTGAGAGACGATGCACAAGGAAAGTGAAGGGCATGCAGACACTGAGTATAAGCTGGATGAGAAAGTGAAAAGTTTGGTCTTGAGTTTTGAGAAACAATGACACACTATCAGGTTTTGATAGTGCTGTTGTGCAGCTCCCACAATGGGTTTATGCTATGTTCCTTAGCACTTAGTGTTAAATCACTATTGGTTATTGGTTTCCCCCTGTACGTCCTGTAGGTCATCACTCCATACCCATTCTCTCCAGAGGTTTTCCACACAGAACTTGTGTGAGCAGAACTTTCTGCTGAGACAAAGCCACAACTAGATTCAAGGCTTTCTCCAGATCTCAGGACATCAAGCCTATCATGCCTTTTTTATTCTCTTGGAAATTCTGATTAATTTCATAATAAGGGAATTTAAACAGACAATGGGGCATTATTATTTAGCCCTAGTAGGCACTCAGTGGTTGATTACAGGTGCCTGAATTAGAAACAGTCTCCCGCACACACAAAAGAACATTTCAGCCCTGCCCACCACACCTCCAATTCACTATTGTATATCTGTGGGCTACAAGAAATAGGTCTTGTTGTGATGAAGGTTGCATCCAAAAGGCTCTTCAAAAGAAAAATTAACCAAGGACAGGAAATGTTTTGTTTTGTTTTGTGTGTTTGAATGCATTCTCTGTCTGGATAGTTATTTGGTACACACCTTGGCATACTACTAAAATGTTTCTGTTCCAAGAGTATGCCTCCTTAATATCTTTGTTCTTCAAAATATATTTGATATAGCAGATATTTTGTCATCTCCTAAATGTTGTAATTAATTCTGTGATACTTTAGGGGGGACGAGGGAGGGGGCATATCATCCTTTAGATTGAGATGCTTGTTTGGAAACTTGAGGTTGTACTTACCCAAAGAGGCATTTAACAAACAAATGCACTGTTTGGTTTATGTCAAACTGCCCAATGTTATAAAACGTGTCAGTGATTCATATTTTAGAAGGCCTCGCCTATTCTCCTAAATAAAATGCAAATTATTTCAACAATGCTTCCCATTTATTTTAGTTAAATACAGCTTCGTTATCTTATAATGATACTATTCATAATTCAAAATCTTCTACGGAGTGCCAGTGGCAGCCTGTGCTCATTAGGACTGGGGGATGTAAAGCTAAGAGACCAGCAGTAAGTGGAGCCCAAGCCAATGAGAATAGGAACCAACTAATTGTCCTCCATCTTCTCCCTGCCGAATTTTACAAGGGCCAATGCTGAGACTAAGGAGGAGCAAACTGATAGCTGGTGGCACATCTGAATTAGTCTGACTTAAGGCGGACTGAGATTGGTGGGGACAGTGCTCTACTCAGCCTAACAGATGAGCCTCTACTACAGAATGATACTGCTTCATGTTCCTAAGCTTGGATATTCACATCTTGATGTAGGATCATTTGGGGTTTGGCATTTGACCTGCTATTGTCTACTCCCTTTGACTATGCAAAGTCTGAATAAACAAATTCACATTATCTGAGATAAAGCAAAATTTAAACGTGCAGGACTAGCTGAGAGCAAGAAAACAGGAGAGAAGGGAAACTGATACCTTGTGTGTGACCTGTGTGACACAAGCCCGGGGCTCACAAACCATCAACCACCCCACATGTGCAAAGCATGATGTGTAGTGTGGAGCCAATGCATGTCTGCAGTTCCTATCAACACGTGCCATTCTTATGCTCCACTGGGCTGTGTGTAAGTAGGGTGGGGACAGCCTACACTGCAGTGCTCCACCACAAATATGTCATTAATATCAGGGCTATGCATGAACAAACCTTCACACATACACTATGCCACAAGGAACCCACCTGTAATAACTTGCCACCATAAATGAGGCATCTTTCTGACTATTGAGTCCTAGTTGCAACCACTACCATTCCCAGGAACCCCATAATTACTGACCAGAGGAACCACATGACTTACACTTGGTACCTATTTGCTAGTTTCTGGCTCAATGTTTCATTCCACCTTTATGGACAACCGCTGTCTTTCCCTTCAGTCTTTCTGGAGGTAACTCACGATCTTTGCTTTTTCTATTTTCTTTTCCCTAGGAACGTTTCCATATTCTTGGCAATTCTGGCAACAGTGAAGGATCAGCCTTGCTACTTTTATTGCCTCTGGCACAATACTAGCTGTGGCAGGTGGGAGGTTGAACATCAACAGTGATGCTCTCCCTGCTTGCCCATTCATTCATTCATTCATTTCATGAGGGATACAGTCAGGCATTTTGACCTCTCTGCCACCGTGCATCTAGTACGTTTGTCAGACACAGGAGAAGGAATATCAGTCAACATTCAATGGGTGTCTCCACCATAGCATATGTTGAAATTAAGGACCCATGTTGATCTATAGCTGTCCACATTCACTGAGTTTCTACATATTCTACACATCTTTTCAGTTTCCAAAGGTATAAGCAAACCAACCCACCCACCCCAATAGTCTGTCCTTTCACTTTTAATCTGTGCAGATCAGAGAGGATGCTATTTTGCTCATGAGCAAGCAGAGGAAATTAAATTAGCAAGCACATTCAATTACAGATTTCAGCCACTGTGAACTTAGCAAATAACATGTCTTACCCCCTTGCATTACTCTAGATTTTCAAAGGCTGTTAAGGAAATAATTTTCTAGGTCTAGTTTGTTCTCTGACACAGCTTAAATGAATTATGCATTAGAACATGCCTTAGGTACAAACTGTCACAAAAACTCAATACTTCGCATTTGCAGGCATAGTTATACTTTCCCTAAATGTTAAATACTGTTAAGATATGGGACAAATAGCCTTAAATTAAATCAACATTTATAAATAAACAAATGCTGATTTTGTACTTCCTGGCCTTCTGAAGTATATTTTCTCCCCGTATGAGGATTCCCCATTACCATTTACATTTTATCAGATTTAAAATTCTACTTCTGGTCATTCAAATATTCAGGCATCCAATACATATCCTTCAGTGTGGAATATCTTCAGTATGCAAGGCCACTCAAGTGTCCCATCTAGAAACTGCAATGCAGTGTGTGTGTGTGTGTGTGTGTGTGGGTGAGAGAGAGAGAGAGAGAGAGAGAGAGAGAGAGAGAGAGAGAGAGAAGAGGCTAACATGGCTGGTCTTGCAGCAGAGCAGCCAACAGATGAATTCTGTCACTCCATCCACAGCTACCTATATGATTAGAAAAATTGAAGAGGATGTGCTAGCAGAAGTAAGTGAGCTAATGGAAAGCGAATACGTCTAAGGTGGAATCTACACACATATAAAGAAACGCTGTGAAAATGCTTTATTAAAAAACGTTTTGAAAAAACATTGAATTTAGCATAGCTCACTATCACCATCTAGTGTCACATTTGTATATTGCACTTAAAACACATTTAAAACGTTTTATTTGCAGCTGTGTAACTGAGTCCTAAGAAAAAGATGTGGGGTGTGGTGGAAGCAGAGGGAAAAGCAAACTGGGGTCCTAGAAAAATGTGGAAGAAGATGAAGGGGTGGAGCCTGTAATAATTTGCAAAGCAGATCACTCTTATGGGCTTGAGAAGGGGACTGTGCAGTACCTCTGCCTCAGCTGCCCTTGTTAGATGCACCTTCAGTGGCAGAGGCACTTGTTCTCATTGGCACGGCTACAGCCAATTCTAATCAGGCTGAAAGAAAGATCTTCTCAACCCATGGTTGTGACTTAATCCCTGTCCTAGGCTGTGCAATCCACTCGGCAAATAAGAAAAGGGTTGAATAGAGCGTATTTGTGACGAAGAGGTGTTTGTGATTTGCATGGCAACAAAAGTCAGTTTAAGCACAGCCATGGCGGATGATGGGACACGTACAAGACTTCTTGCCCCCTAGCAAGTATTTCAGAGCTTGCATTTTTCATCATTCTGTCGCTGCCATTTGAATGTTGTTTCCCCTTCCTTTCGTGACTTTAAAAAACACCAGATGTTTCTATGACTTTGCAAGGGCAGGGAGTTGGAATTAAAAGAAAGCTAAAGCAAATGGGAGGGTGTGGATAGGAAAATAGAATAGGATGCCAACTGGTGTTCTGATCAGAGACGGGGAGAAAAACCACTCTCAATCTTGTGCAAATTCTGCAGCGCAAATGATAAGCCATTGGCCATTTTTCAGCACGGAAAGCTGCTTCAAGCAGGGATGACCATAAGCAGAGAAGAGGAAGTGTTAAGGTTTTCCCACCAACTATTTAACCCAAGTGGAGTTTCCTCCCCCAGGCTTTAATCTCAAGTAGTTTTAATTCTGTGCTTCTCCTTATGGGGCCAACATATTCCCACTGCTACCATCTCCCAATGTTACCTGGATCAAAATCTAATCCAAACTTTCATTTTTTCTAATTCAGCCATATAGCTTGTGTTCCTAGTATTGAATATGGACTAATACTGTGGTAATGAATTCGACTGGCATCACTGATCTCAATTTAAAATGAGGAAAAAACAACCTGCAACGGTAATTTGAATGCAATTACTTGTATGAACAATGTCATATTATTGTTCTTTGCTTCAAAAGGAACCAATTAATATTTAGTGAGAAATTGTATCTCTTAGTGGAAACGGATACATCAATCTGCATGTAAACATTAAGATGTAGTTACCGTATTTTTCGCTCTATAAGACGCACCAGACCACAAGATGCACCTAGTTTTTGGAGGAGGAAAACAAGAAAAAAAACATTCTGAATCCCAGAAGCCAATACAGCAAGAGGGATCGCTGCGCAGTGAAAGCAGCAATCCCTCTTGCTGTTCTGGCTTCTGGGATAGTTGCGCAGCCTGCATTCGCCCCATAAGACGCACACACATTTCCCCTTACTTTTTAGGAGGGAAAAAGTGAGTCTTATAGAGCAAAAAATACAGTAGTTAATTTCACCACGCAGTACATAACCATTAGCATAGTAATAATAAACAAGGTAAAACTATTTTTCGCATATATATATATGGGGTGATTATATGACAGTAAACATCCTAATTTGTCTGTGGGAAATTTACACATTTCCTTATTATTTCTTCACCCCACACTTTTAATTCTATTTATCCATTTATTTGTAATCTGCAAAAGATCTGGATATGAGCTTGATGTCCTCCTGTACCATCCAGAGGCACCCAAAGACTATTCCCTCACCCTCATTCTTATATGGCTTCCTTCTGCTTTCTGATTCTCATATTCTATTTACATGCACCCAGGTAACAAGCTAAGTACTGTATAACATTAAGATTAAACGGACTTCTTTTAATCACAAGCCATCCTGCACTTCTGGTGCTTCAACCTCATCCTTCCTGAGAGAATGCAAGACCTTTCACATAGTTTTGCAAGTAATAAAAAATTGTGTTGAATGGGGTTCGCTTGGTTCAAGTTCCAATCTTGCTACAACATACAACGTTGCCAGATGCTGCACAGCAGCGCTCAAGATTCGACGGATGATGATCTGTGCCACAAACTAGATATAATGAGCACTCGTATTGAAGTGCTCTGTAGACTGACAGCTGTGGTCTTATATATACTAGCCTTCTGCACTCTTTCACTCTTGTCTGATGTTTCTAACCCTTCTTTTAGACTTTCTTACCCTCTTTTGGATTCTTATGGACACACACACACACACACACACACACACACACTGTAGTCTGTTGATACTCCTTTTAGTTTTTTTAACTTTATTTTTAAATGATTTTAAGTGATTGTACCCCTCCCTACTTACGCTGGTCTACGGCCTTTATAAAGTGCTGTTGTTGTTGGTTCAAGTTTAATATGTTATGAAACAATATGGGTTTGCTTTCATTTCCCAATTCATACCTATTCATAACTCATTTGGAGGGGTAGACTTGCCTTCCCCATCAGCACTCAATGTCCTCTCAGCAGTTGCCTCCTAGAAGCTGCTATTTTATTTTGCCAGAATATATCCAGTATTTAATCATTCTGGGGTGTTCTGAGAAAAAATGTCAGCATTCTAGACAGAGACAGAGACCATTTTATGTGGTGGCTGCCATTACCACACACACACCCCATCCCAATGCCTTG